TGTGCTTGATGGTACGGCCTGGGCGGGGCGAGGCAGAAGCCGCGAAATCCGCGCGAAATCCGCGGGAACTAGCTTTTTGGCGCCATGGCGCAAAGTCGTGTTACCGATTTCTACGCGCGCCGTCGCCCGAGCCTTACTGCTCCGCGGGCCAAGTCGGCCTGTCTCACCCCGAGCCCCAGTGGGCTTGTGACCCCCGAGTTCACCCGGAGCAGCAGCCGCAAGCGTGCTCGTCCCGCCACCGAACCCAGGAGCGACCAGCCCGCACCGCCCGCGCGCCGGAGGCTGCGGCTTCCTGGACTGGTGAGGCGTGCGTGGCACCCCAGAGGACCCCTGGTTAGGAGAGGAAACCCTGGCTATCGGGCACTGAGGCAGGGGACTGGGCGCCAAGCCCGAGGGAGGAGTAGAGTCTCGATCAGGCTGGCTACTCCTTTCTTTCCTCAGGGGAACCAGCAGCTGCGTGCAAGAGGGGTCTTGGGCTTGTTGGGAGGCTGCAGCAGGCAGGGGTTAGGGGTGGGTGTTCTGCAAAGAATTGGGCTGGAACTTCTGAAATGGAGAGAAAACACAAAAGAGTCAGGCCTGGAAGCTGCTTCAAGGAGGAAGAGGCCCAACAAACCAGGTGGATCTTTCCTGTGTCATTAGACGCCTCAATTGGCAGGCATTCCCCCTAGAGCCTGGCTCCAGCCCTCCGGGTCTAGTGAACTGACAACCTGGTTTTTGGCTCTGCAGGCCAGTGCTCTTCCTGCAGAGCAGGTACCCCCCCTCCCCCACCTCACCCCCAGTGTATTGATCCTTAATTACCAGGACTCCTGCTCCAGTTCCCCAGCTGATCCCAGCTCTCCAGCTGACCCTGGCTCCCCAGTAAGCCCATCTCCTGTCAAGAGAATAAAGATCACCACTGCTTCCGAAGGTCCAGGCCTTTCTGCCACAGCTCAAAAGCAGGACAAGGTAAGGTTGGACTGAGAGGGTAGGCCGTGGGCAGGGCGATGGATAACGGGTAGAACTGACAGCACCTCTTGTCCCTAGGTCTCCTCAGAGGACTCTATCTCTGAGCTCCAGTCCTGTCTGAGGCGGGCCCGTAAGTTGGGAGCCAGGGCTCAGGCCCTGAGGGCCAAAGTCCAGGAGAATGCTGTGGAGTCTTGTACGCCAGATGCCAAGGTGCCCACAGAGCAACCATGGTGAGTCCTAGTGGGCCACGAGACAAGGTCCAGGGGAGGACAGGCTGTTAGGCACTGTGGGGCTTGAGTGGGTGGGTGGCCTGGGTGCCGTGACTTCCGGGGAGACGATTAGTGTGGCCACGAAGCTGGGAGCCAGATTGCCTAGACAATAGATATACCACGTATCTACTCCTCACCAGCACTATGCCCTTCTCCCCCACCTGAAAAGGACATGGTCACTCCTGCCTTTGGCTCATTCTAAATACTATGGGCAGCTGTGGACACTGTGCCTATGTCTTTATCTGCTTCTCCAAGCTGAGGGTGCTGGGCAGGCAGATGAGGCAGAGATGATGTGTGGATACTGTCCTCACAGGCAGCAGCAGATCTGCAAGGACTTTGCAAATGGGTAGTTAGTTTTGAGGCTTTGGTTGTAAAGGGCTCTGTTACCTTGTTGTCTGGTGGTGGTGGGGTCACATTGTGTGGTTTGGTGGTCTAATGAGACTGCTTCCCGTTGACAGTGTCGAGAAAGTCCCTGCCTACCAGCGCTTCCATGCCCTGGCCCAGCCTGGTCCCCCTGGCCTTATCCTGCCCTACAAGTATCAAGTGCTGGCCGAGATGTTCCGTAGCATGGACACCATCGTGAGCATGCTTCACAATCGATCTGAGACTGTGACCTTTGCTAAAGTCAAGCAAGGTGTCCAGGACATGATGCGCAAGTGAGTGGTGAGGGAGAGTGACTTTGGTTGCCCTTGAAGTCTGATGCCGGTCTGCGTGGTCCTTCTGACCCAGCCCTCTCTTTCTTCTGTAGGCGCTTTGAAGAGCGCAATGTGGGCCAGATCAAAACCGTGTACCCCACATCATATTGCTTCCGCCAGGAATGCAATGTCCCCACTTTCAAGGACAGCATCAAGAGATCTGATTACCAACTTACCATAGAGCCCTTGCTGGACCAGGGTGAGTCTTTGTCGAGGCCCTGGGTGTGCTCACTAACCTTGGCCTTGGGGGTGAGCATGAGGTGTTGGTGTCAGGCCTCGTTTTGGGATTTCAGTCGCAGGTGGGCAGCTGGACGGACCTGGGCTCACCGTGTTTTCTTCTTACAGAGGCTGGTGGCAGTGCCACGCAGCTCACAGCCACGTGCCTCTTGCAGCGCAGGCACATCTTCCGACAGAACCTGGTGGAGCGAGTCAAGCAGCATCACAAAGTGAGTGCTGGGGTTCGTGGAGGCCATTGAGCAGGTTCAATCCCTCTGTAAGCGGACAGTGGTCTTAAGTGCCCTGTTCCCCCGTCAGTGGCTGTCCTGACTGCAGATAAAAATTTCTCTTAATCCCTTGCTATGGATATCTTAAAATGTGAGGGGGTTGATTCCATTGCTGACCCCTTCTATGCTATAGGCTGGAGCTGGGGGGTCAGGATTTCCTTGAGACCCTGAGAGGGTTCTCATGTCACTGTCAACCATATCTATATGCTAGGAACACGCCTCTTTATACCTGGCTGTGTACTTAGACAGAGAAAGGCTAAGTTGTTTGTTTGCCCGGGGCTTTTTTTTTTAGCTGGAATTGAATTGAGTAGCCCAACACTCTCCTTCCCCCCAGGCTTTCCTTGCTGCATTGAACCCCCCCATGGCCGTGCCTGAAGACCAGCTGACCCGCTGGCACCCCCGCTTCAATGTGGATGAAGTGCCTGACATTGAACCAGCCGAATTGCCCCAGCCTCCCGTCCGGGAGAAGCTCACCACCGCCCAGGAGGTGTTGTCCCGAGCCCGCAGCTTGATGTCACCCAAGGTGAGGCTCTCTAGCCTCTAAAATTCATCCCTTTCTTCTCAGGGAGTATGGTCAGCAGCGTGACCCCAGTGGGTGGAGGTAGCAGCTAGTGCCTCTGGGTTCGTTACCTGATCACTTTCTCAGCTAAGGGCACAGAAATAAGATGTGCCCTGTACCCTCTCACACTCACACGTACACACACACACACCTCAACAGCTCAGCTGGCTGTGTATATCTGCTAGTACTCCAAGACTAGGGAACTTGGCCTGGAGAGAAAGGGGATTCCTGGATGGGCAAAGGGCTTCCGCTCACAAGGCTGGGGCAGTTAGTCACCGTTTGTGACATCTGTCCTGTGCCTACTCTGCAGATGGAGAAGGCCTTGAGTAACCTGGTCCTGCGTTCTGCGGAGCCTAGTAGCCCTGGGTCGTCCTCTAGTCCAGCACTCCCAGCCACCCCACCAGCTGCCTCTCCCAGTGCCCTGAAGGGTGTGTCCCAGGCCTTGCTGGAGCGGGTAAGTCCCGGGTAATGGGGAGGGGGCCTTGGGGACAAGAAGGGTCCTTGGTAACCATTTGTTGCTGACCCATTTCATACAGATAAGGGCCAAGGAGGTCCAGAAGCAGCTGGCACAGATGACCCGGTGCCCGGAACAGGAGCTCCGGCTGCGGCGGTTAGAGCGCTTGCCAGAGCTGGCCCGTGTGTTGCGTGGTGTCTTTGTGTCTGAGCGCAAGCCAGCGCTCACTATGGAGGTGGTCTGCGCAAGGATGGTGGACAGTTGCCGAGCTGCCCTGAGCCTGGGTTTGTACAGAGCAAGAGAGGGCTGAGGGTGGGCGTGGTCAAGCTCACTGTGTCCTTGGCAAGAAGCTGGGTCCATTTCTGACCAGGGACAGTTTGCTTGCCACAGACTTGTTGGAATCCCAGTTTGGCCACCTAAGGCCTCATCTCTGCTTTCAGGCCTGCTCACCAGGCTTGGTGTATGTGTGTCTTGCCCTTGCTGTTCATTCCCCTGGTGCTTGAGAGCAGTGCCCAGGGACCCCCAGGCCTCTGCTTGGCTCCACTGCACACAGCCGTGGTTAAGCCTTGAGAAAGGCCTGTTGGGGGCCGGGGTGGGGTGGGCTGGCTAATTGAGCCGAGCAAGTCATCCAGGCCCCATGCTTAAACCCACAATGCACTTCTGCAGGGGAGATGGAGAAGCACGTATTGCTCCTATCTGAGTTGCTGCCAGACTGGCTCAGCCTGCATCGCGTTCGGACTGACACCTACATCAAGCTGGACAAAGCCGCTGACCTAGCCAGCCTCACCGCCAGGCTGACCCACCGGGTCCACACTGAGGGGCTGTGACCGAGTTCTTCACCGGCTGGTCTGTTCCCTTTATCAGTACAGCACATACGAGCTTCCCTCTCCGTGTCGCAGGCCCCAAGGGCCTACTGCCAGTATGGGCAGCAATTGTGCCCATGGGTCTCAGAAAGTGTTGGTGTTAAATTGGTTCCCGAGGCTTTGGTACCCCAGGCCCAGCACTTGTGTGAGTGTTGGGGAAGTAGACTGGGGGAGCAGAGTATGTTGGATGTCCATCCCACGAACTACTCGTCTAGTCAAGGTCCAGATGGAAGCCCTAGGCTAGCCTAGCCTGCTCCTCCGTGCTCGTGATAGCTGTCTTGCTTAGAGCCTTAAGACCCACAGAGAACTTGGACTTCTGGCTAGATTTCACAAGGACAGTGAGTTCTGAATGGCAGAGTGAAATTGGGCCTTCTGTATATAATAAAATCATGTAAATAAAAGTACTACCGAGACTAAACCGAACAGGTCACCATAAAATCCCTTTAAATAATGCCCTGCTGTTGTGCCGTGTTTTCTTCTGTGACTAGCAAGACCAGGCCAGTAAAAATCTGGGTGAAAGCAATCTTGCTGGGGATGTGGATGAATGGCAGGGTGCTTGTCTGGCACCTGCAAGGCTAGTTCTGTGCTAACAACCTGGTATTGCTGCTCAACAAAATAGGATTTTAAGGTGGTTACTGTACAGTGCCCTCAGGCCCCCAAGGAATGGCCCAGAAAACTCACAGATACTGGTGAAATTATTAAGGCCACTCCATGTAGTTAAAAGGGTTTATTTAGTGGCATAACTTACAAATGAAGGGATAGGTAGGTTGCAAGGTCTGGGAAAGACGGAGTGCAGTCCGGTGGTGTTCTCTGGAGAACTCTGCTCGGTCTACCTCCAGGGTCCAGGAACCAAGAGAGGTGGCCCATCCGGATCTTGGGTCTTCAGTGGTCCTCTCTTGGCCCCGTCTCGTAGGCGTGACAGTTACCACTGAAGCCTCAATGGGGTTGGAACTTCCAGATCAAAACTGGAATGGCTATCCACTACATCTCCCCCTTGTGTCCAAATAAGAAGGTTCTAACCTAATACAAGACTATATACAAAGGAATAGTTATCGAATATTGTCCAGGAATAATGAGGGATAATGACCTAGATAAGATGCAACTACAACCAATGCGAACATTATCAAGCAAGAAACATACTAATCCAGAGAAGTCTAGAGCGTACATAAATGGCATGTTACAAAGATCATTCCAAAAGGTGTCTTATCCTAAAGAACCTGAATCTAATACTTAGTGGTCGGCATCAAAGGGAGGGTGCTTCCTAGGGGGCTGTGGCTTCACTACAGAGCTGAGTCTGCTGGTTTCTACCTGTTGAGGTCCATAAGCTGACGTTGAGCCCCTCCCCTCCCCCCCCCGACATGTCACCTGTGGAATGGGATCCATGCAAGACAGTAAGCACTGTAGGTAACAAACTGTTTATTGATCTTGCTGTGTCATAACCTACAGCAGCAGCACAGCTCTGCTTCAGGACTCGGCACATACAGAAAGTGCAAGGGCCCAGGTGGTCCATAGGCATGGCGACCAAGGAAAGGGCAGCTGGTGGCTCACAAAGGTCACTTGGGTGCCAGGGCCGAGCCGCTGTCCAGTCAGAGATGCTGGGGGCAGGAGTATAGCAGCTATTCCAGCCCCTTGGTCATTCATACTGCAGAAGAGAGAAGAATGGTACGGGCCCTAGCTTCTCTCTGCCCTTCAGCGAGGTCAGCTCCACCAGGCTCACACACTCCACCACCTCAGCCCGTAGCTGGCCCAGCAGCTCGCAGGCCGCACGCATGGTTCCTGGGGGCGAAGGGACAAGGAAAAGAGAAGGTAGGGTGGCTCTTGGCTGAGTCAGCACTCCAGATAAGGCTTGTCCCTTTGGAACCTGTTTATGCCTTAGAGTGGCTCTTACCTCCAGTGGCCAGGAGATCATCTACAACAACCACCTTCTGCCCAGGTTCTAAGGCATCTTCCTGGATTTCCAGTTCAGCCTGCAGACAGGAGGCGTAAGTCTAGGAGCTAACAAGTGACCACCACCCCTAGCCTTCCCACGTTGCCTGGTGGTATAAACCTGGCCCAATGTCTCAACCTCTCTGAGCTCCCACATTTGCCCCTAGACAGCTACCCACTGCCCAATTACCTTGCCATACTCCAGAGCATAGGAGACTGACACTGTGGGGCCCGGCAGCTTTCCGCGCTTCCGGATGAGCACACAGCCCAGGCCCAGCTCCTGAGCTAGGGAGGGGCCAAACAGGAAGCCCCTGGAGTCTAAGCCTGTTAGGGTGAGAGGACAGTGTTGGCTGGGAATACTAGGCCTTACTAGCTACAGCTAGAAAGCTGATGGCTATTGGGCAGCTTCTTAGCATTGGGGGTGTTATGTGCCTTCTGTACAGCTCAGGGGCACTTATGGTGGCTTTTGCCACCTCTCAAACACATCGGCCCAGGAGCACTCTACAGTACGGGGGTACATGACTCAGGTCACCTCTGGGGAGGCCTGAGCTGTAGCGGGGAGGAAGCATGCCCTAATTCTTGGAGCATGGTCAGGGGGTACCAATAGGAAGTGAAATGGGCATCATCACTGTGGCTCCTGAGCACTTGCCTGGGCTACCCTGCTCTCTGGGGTTCTTCTCACCCTCTAGGACATGTCCAACTTCCCTGGTGGACATTCAGCTACCCTAGAGTGTTTCTGAAGTCCAAGCACGGAGCCTGGTATACGGCAGGTGTTAAGCACAAGATTGTGTCGGGAAAGGAGAGAGACTCTGGCATAGTCCTGAAAGAAACAGCCCCTGAGGCTACCAGGCTCTCGGCCTGCCCAGGCACGCCCCCGTCTGTCCCAAGGCTACCGCATTTTTTAGCAGCTAGCTCATCCTAGAAGCTGCCCCTAGCAAGGATGCCCATTTGGAGGTTCCAGGGCCTTCCTCAAAGTTCTCCTGAAACACACATATGCTCCTTACAGTCCTGCAGCCAGACTGCTGGCCAGACTCATTCCCTAAGGGAGGCAAGGCTGGCCCTGAACAAGGACAGAGCAGAGTTCATCTCTAGTAGGAACAGGCACTGAGGGCGGAAGTCAGGACCTAGCAGGGGTAGGAGATGGAGTCGTCATCTAGGGTCAACAAGGGACCGACACAGGGAGGAACAGGGTGCTAAGGGAGGGGTCAGGGTGGGTGTGGGGTAGGCTGTGGGTGACACGAAGGTTAAAAGGAAGGGCCTGGATAGTGGGGGACCAGCACGGCCTAGCGTGGCCACTCGCCTGCGATGTAGTCGATCTTGCCGCCATGCGTGGACTTAAGGTGATTGGCCAGGAGGCGGATGGAAGCTCGGAAGGAGTCGGGGTCCTTCAGGAGGGGCGAGATATCCCTGGGAACAAGGACAGGCTGGTGACCGGGGAAGGCTGAGAGGAGGCCCGGCAAGATCCCCGAGACTGCCCAGGCGCCTGCGCCAAGAGCCGAGCGCTGGGCGCCAACGCCTCGCGGGCTCGTGACCGCACCTGAACAGCACGCCAGGGATGGGGAAGTCGGGGAAACTGCGGATGCGCTGTGCCACTAGCTGCAACTCAGGCTCCGCCATATCCGCGTGCACTCGAGAAAGGGCGGAGGGGTGTCAGCAGGCTAGGGTTAAACTAGTCCCGGGAACAAGGGCGGGGCATCCTTGGTGGGCGGGGATTCTAGGGCGGGGCGTCCTTAGGGAGAGGTCCAGCATGAGGGGCGGGAGGGGCGGAACCAGGAGGGGGCGGGCCTCTGGGGGAGTTGGTTGGGGGGCTGGTGGCCTCTGGCAGGAAGTAGCACATTTGCTCGAACCCTAGGTGACGTCAAACTGGAAATCTAGGGTTATTTCTGGGTGGAAAAAGAATACACGCCTTGGTACCCTTTTTGGGTTCTGGCTCCTGCACTCTTTCAGTCCCGCTTCTCCCAGGGCCAGCTTTCTGGACCTGGAGGGGTCGGTGCGCATGTTACCACAGTCCCTTTGCTCTGGCACGCAGTGCAAGGGGACTGAAATTCAGTCCCTGCTTTCCAAGAATTAGCCAGGAAGGGAGCTGGTGGACAGTTTCAAGCACAGAGGTGCAAGTGCATTGTGTATGGCCTGGAGTGGAGAGGAAAAGCAGGGTAGCACGTCGGGGTGAGGGGTGCTTACCTTGAGGCCACAGACCCTCTTGGGCATCTGTACCCTCGTTTGGGGGAGAGGACCCGAAGATCTGGACAGCCAAGAACAGAATGGGATCTACCTGCCCAGACACAAGACTGTCCTCGGAGTATAATGGCCATTATCATCTTCAGTGTGGTATAGTGAATAAATATCCCCCAACAAAACTTATCTGGGGATCAGAGGACAGAGCCAGCCACTAGAGTACACAGAGAGGCCAGACAGTGGTGGAACACACCCTTAATCCTAGCATTCAGGAGGCAGAGATCTGTCTGGATCTCTGTGAGTTCAAGGCCACACTGGGAACTGAGCCAGGCAGTGGTGGCACACACCTTTAATCCCAGCACTTGAGATCTCATGCCTTTGCTTGGGAAGCACATATACCTTTAATTCCAGGAAGTAATATGGCAGGACCCAGAAAGGTATATAAGGCGTGAGGAAACAGGAACTTGCTCTCTTTCAGTGGAGGATTCTGTAGGGGTAAGAATCTAGTGGCTTGCTCTCTGCCTCCCTGATCTTTCAGCTTTTACCCCAATATCTGGCTCTGGGTTTTTTATTAATAGGACCTTTTAAGATTCGTGTTACAGTGCAGCTGTAATTACTCAAAAGAAAGCCTCCGGATTGGACCTATGTTCTGTCAAAGGAGAGGGTGTGAGAAAGGTCTAATAGATTCCAACCATCCCTTTCCTGACCCCGCTCCCTGCCTGCTGCAGTTCTTCCATCTGTGGCAGTCTCTGGAGATGCTAGAGTATATTTTATATATATAGGGTGGAAGGTTAACTGAAGGGAGGCTCCACTATGCATCTCTAGGGAAGTTGTCATCCATGCTGGGTTGAGACTTTTCGGTTAGGATGATGAAGCTGCTTTGGGGTCATCCATGCTCTTGTAAGCAGTGAACTCATTAGATGCAATTGTTACTTTGGTCTGTCGTTGGTACTCTATCTGAGACATATAGATGATTTTGTCTCTCCAGGGGAAGTTCATGCAACAGGTACATGGGACATCTAACATACAATGTCTCCCATCATCTCTATTTTAAAAACCAGGATAGGTGGGCATGGTGGCACATGCTTTTAATCTCAGCACTCAGGAGGCAGAGGCAGGCAGATTTCTGAGTTCAAGGCCAGCCTGGTCTACAGAGTCAGTTCCAGGACAGCCAAAGCTACACCACAAAGAAACCCTTGTCTCAAAAAACCAGAGAGAGAGAGATAGAGAGATAGAGAGAGAGAGAGAGAGAGAGAGAGAGAGAGAGAGAGAACAGGATAACAGAGCTAACACTCCTCCTGTTCCTTTATTCTTGGTCTCTCAATCTCTCTTCGTTATCATTTTCCAACCTTTACAGTTCAGCTTTGGCACTACAATCATTGCAGAGATGTGAAAACTTGTTCATGATGGACAGGCAGCTCCCATGAGCCTTCTGGGAAGGGGTTTTGGAGATTATATCTCGTAGCCTGCACGTGACCGAGGGCAGGTACAACAGAAGTGGACCCATACTGTGCTGAGCCAGAGCCAGAAACTTAGGCTGTCACCTTCCTATTTCCATGGGGCAGGAACAGATCTCACCTTGGGCTTGGACGATGTGATATTTTTGTCTCTTGTTTGTAGCTGGTGGAAAAAGAGGGAGGGTAACCCAAGGAAATTGACATGGGGGTAAGGACTGATAGCCAGGCAGATGGTGGCTCCATGGCATAGCACTGAAATCTTCACCTGTGGACTCCAGGGTCAGGTCTCCAGGATACAGTCTTGGAACCTTGCTACTGGTTGCAGAGGCCATCCAACCAGTGGTGGGTGAGCAGAGAGCAGCTGGTCTCTTTCGTCCATCAGCCCCAAGGCCAAAGCCTTCCGGACACTTGCAGGGCTGACTGGAGATTCTGGTCTTGGCTAATGGGGCCAGGAGCACTTCTCAGGGACAGACTCAGGAGGTGTCAGACACTTCCCTAACTTTTCACAGCCTGGGGGTGCCCAATTCTAGAAAATGAGATTTAAGGAAATAAACTGCAGTTATTCAGACTTGTCTGGGCACAATCAGCAAGATGTGGACCTCCCGCCTCACCCACCCACTTGGCTGTCGTGTAGAGACACCGCTATCTGCATGCCTTCCAGAAGCCTGGGAATGTGGAGCCCCAGGACCTTCTACAAGCAGCAGCTCTGGCTCTGCAGAGAAGGAGGTTGGTGGGGCTGGCTGGAAAGCACGTGGTAGCCAGGAAAGCGAGGCCCAGTAAGGGAAGCCTCAGGGCAGAGCATCTGTCACCCAACTGCCTAGATCTCAGGCAGCTTCCAAGTGCGGGAAGCCAGGAAAAAGAGGCTGCCACACTACTGAGAGACTAGGCGGTGGACAGACTCCCTGGTAGACAGACAGACAGGGAGAGGGGCCAAGTCTAGGTGATAGAGATGGTGAAGTTCCACGATGGCCAGCTTCTTCCTCCCCCCTCCTGCCTTGTCACAAAAGCCTGGCAGCTTAAGACATGAGCTTTGTAGACTTCTGTCCCCCACCAGCAGGCCCCCCACTTAGGGACTGGCTCAACCAGTTCAAGGCCTGCTCATGACACGCCACACATCGGTTCTGGGCCTATCACACACCCTAGTTTTCTTCAAACTGACCAACCCTAAATTAGGGGAGGAAAATCTTGCAGAGACTTTAAAGCCCCAGCCCTCAGGAAGAGACTGGAGTTTTTGCTTCACAGAGGGTTTGTTGTTCTCTATGTCTGCTACGTGTGTGTTTCCTCACCCCCACTGAACGCCTTCCTTCAACTGCTGATCCTGTGTGCTGCTTGGTCTTCCTCTGCTGCTACCTGCTGCATTCCAGATTTTCCCTGACTTTTAGTTATTTGATTGGCAGAGAAAATGAACTTGATCAAAACCCCTAGACTGTGTCACAGCAGCTTGTTAGGAAAAGACCCGTACTCTCCCCTAGGCCCCTCACTGGACTAAGTCTGTGCTACAGAGCAGCTGCACACAGGATGGGAACAGCAATGCCCCACTGTGAGGACACTCAAGCTCTTGAGGCCCCAGAAACCTGGTAGTCCTAAGAAAGTCCTGAATACCACCATCATTTAGAGGTCAGAACACTAGTATGGTAGAGACTGTCTCCTGAGCCAAACTGCTACCATCTTCAGGAGTTTAGCTGGGCTTGCTTGCAAAATATCATGACAGCTTGGTTTGTTGACTATTGACTTTCCTTAAGGACCGACCACCAGGAGAATCACGGGACTCTCACCTGAGTATCCAGCCACTCCGAGTCAGTTACATGCAATTCTGCCCTAAGTGCAAGCAGCCTTAGGGGCTTGGGGAGGGGCTAGAGTATACAGGGGAGCTCTATCTACACAGCAATGGGGGAGCCATCTTTGCTGGGTGTAGACCTTCCAGTATGGCTGCTTTAAGCGACCCCCCTCCTCTTCTATGTTCCTGCCGTACCCAGCCCAGTCCTGAACAAGGCTACTCACCCTCCAACAATCCTAAACACTAGTGGGATGTTGTGCATTTCCCTCCCATACTGCCCAGAACAATGATTTCCACTTTGGTGCCTGAGTACACCTTGCCAGCCTGAGCTGCATGTGTACAGGGAGCCAAGATGTCCTCAAAATTGGATGAGACCAGTGTCTGGCATGGGTGGCAGTAGCCAAGCACAAGCAAGCCCCAGCATGCATACATAGACCACTCACCATGACAGCCTGGCTACACACATTGAGCTGGGGCTGTCCAGGGACCAAGGACTTCTGGTGCTGCTGGACAACCTGGGTAATCCTGCTGAGGACATCCTGGTATTCATCACTGGCAAAGCTGGAGAGAAGAAGGCTCTGGTTATAATGCTACTGTGTCCAAGGCCAATCACCTCCTGGCAGGCAGCTTAGGAGGTTCACAGACATTCTAGGACATGAAGTGGTCTAGCCTGGAAAGCCTGAGACCTTGAGTTGTCTCTAGAGGTGGGAGGAGCAAGGATCGCAGTCTGAAGTCGGAGTGGGCTCTGGGCTCCCCCGTGGGGACCCTTGAGCTTCCCTGGACAGCTGTCTGTACTGTGAGCTGCTCTCCTGTTGTCAGACTCTGCCAGGGGAGGAAATGAGGGCCTAGGAAGCTGAGCCATGGCAGGGAGTCCTCCTCTGTCACTGCCAACGTGACCCGTGTGTGATGAGAACCCAGGACTGTGGGTTGGAGACTGGGCCCTGAGGACTGGGGCCTCTCCACGGGAACCGCCACAGCAGTTGGTACTGTTTTGAAACACATACACATGTGACACGTGCTGTTTCCTTAGAAAGTCCTGTCTTATGTTGAGAAGGGGTCAGGTACAGATGGAAAGAAAACGGCACACACAGCCCTGAAGTTCCAGCATAGGCACCTTCAGAATTTGACTCATTTTTCACTAAGAAGACAGGTTAATGGATGCACCATGCAGATGGCACATAACCAACCTCTGGACTGTCACCAACTGTGGTACTAAAATGAAGCTGCAAGGATGTCAATGGGGACCACGTCTTTTTGTCATTTTACATCATGTTTACTGTTGCCCACACAATGTGTCCTCAGGGAACTATAAATGAAAACCCATGAGCTGCTACATCCCATGGAACAAGTCTGTCCCTGGGCAGCATGGCGAGGCCATGACGAGCCAAGGCCTCAGCCCTGGGAAGTGACTGGTGGTTCCTTAAAGGTTAATGCTAAGGGGAGCCATGGTGGCTCACACCTTTAAAGCCAACACGCAGGAGGCAGAGGCAGGCTGATCTCTGTGAGTTTGAGGCCAGCCTGGTCTACATAGTGAGTTCCAGGCCAGGGCTACATAGTAAGACCCTGTCTCAAATAAATAAAAATTTAATGCTAAATTTCCCTCCCAGATAAAACCAATGAAATATATTTTTCTTTTCTGGAGGTGCTAGGGATGGAAGCACTAGGCAAGCACTCTCCACTGAGCTATATATCCATCTGTGTCCTGTCCTGTCCCATTCTGTACACTCCCCCTTCACCTGACCATTCCAACAAGGTCCATTCATCCACCTGTACCATAGCATCTGCTGGACTGTCAGGGAGCCTTTAGCTGAGCGTGAAGCAAACCACAGCACACTCACTGTGTGGTGCATGGCTCAGCACAACACACACCGCTGATATGCCCACAATGGAGTACAGTGGGCGGAGCCTGGGGCTGTGTACATGCAGGGTGCCAAGCTCAGGCTGCAGACAAATCTCAGATATCTGCAACTCAGGATCTAACAAGACACGGGCAGAGAGAATTCTGCATGTGAACTAAGTCCTCAGATTTCTTCATGTCTCAGGATGACTGGTAAGAAGATGACCATCTGTCCCTACCCTGCAAGTACCCCAACCACCACTGTGATCCCAAGGGAACTGAAGGCCTTCAGAGACTTAGACTGTACTCCAACCTTGTGCTAGGCTTGGCTGCTCCCTTGATGACAGTAGGGCCACTCCCAGCACAGCAGCCTTCTAGGAAGAGGACTAGTCAGTACGGATAGACGTATCCTAAGCCTGGATCCCTCACTCATGCCCTTGGCCATCCCTGAAGGTAGCTCAGAGTATAGGACCCATTGCTGGGGGGTGTAAGTGGACGGAACCTAAAAGGGGCAGAGATGAGAAGCAACCAGGAAAGGAAAACAGGAAGAGGGCTCCCAGAGAGCAAGGCAGCTATGATCCAAAGTGGAGATGTAGGTTTCTGGGAATTGATAGGTTCAACATCGGCCTTGGATGAGTACCGGGGGTTCTGGTTCCATCCCTCTGCTGTGTGGTTCACATCCTCACAAAGGCATACATTCCCTCTGAGACCAGAGGAGGAACTCCATGGAAGACAGAGCACCCAGACGTGGTTCTCACCTTTGGCCTGTCTGGCCAATGTCTCCTCTGGAGCGTGGAGACCCTGCCCCTGCCTCACCTGAGTGGGAATCTCTCCCCTGGGTCACGTCCCAGGTGGAAGATCAGGGGTAGCTCCGTGTGTTCTTCCTGGGTATGGGTTGTGACTCCTGAGACATTCTGCCCGGGACAGAAGTCAATGCCCTGCAACGAGAGGCATAGAGCCCAACTGAATACCCGAGGGCCAGAGCCCAGGTCGAAAGAGATGCCCTACTGTCCTGTTCCTCACATCCACCATACCCCTGTACCTTCTAGCACCAGAGCTTTCTGCCTACACAGATGGAGTGCTGCAGTGTTCACTGATGAACAAACATGAGTCGGGTAGAGTATGGCCATCCGGCTGAAGGGAAAAGCTTCAGGAGGTAGAAGTAGGAATATCATGAGTTTGAAGTCATCGTGGGCTACATGAGACCCTGCCTCAAAACAAAATGAAACAGTCTAGGCAGTCCCACATCTTGACTTTGACCAGTGGCTCAGAGGAGAGCTCCTGAGCTCCATAAAGCCCTCTCAGTGTGTAGCCAGGGAGAACAGTGGACTTCTTAGAAGGGCATGGATGAGTCACTAGACCAGGAAAAAAGAAGGGCCTTTTGCTTGAAAGCCTAGAGAACATGTAGATAGACCCAGAGCTGAACGTGGAAGCTGAAGGTAAGGGACAAAACAGTCGTGACCAACAGACTCAAGAGAAGAGCACAGACTATAAATAACCACCATTTCTGCATTCAGAAGCAGAGGGAAGGCTGACTATGTACTCTGGTAGCATGGAGTCAACCCCTGCAGCTTCTTCTCAGGTAGCTTGGCTGCTGAAGCTCTCTCTCCTAGGTACAGCCTGATTCCACTACAAAGGTTCATGTGTGCAAGCCTGTCCTTTGCCCTCCCAGATCTCTCTGGTTACTACTCAGGGTGCACTGATGGGGAATGTCCCCAATCAAGCCTCTAACAGTCCCAGACAGAACTGTGAGGCAGGAGTTCACGCTAAGTACCATGATTCAGGTGCTCTCGTGTCGGCCATGTTGCCAGTGGGAGACAACATTGTAAGGTTTGCTTACATTTGAAATGGTGCCTGGGCTGGAAAGTGCAATGCAGTGCAGTTCACTAACAAATGTCTCTAACACCAGTATAAAACCCTGTGATGGTGCAGCAGTTTAGCTTTTAAAGCAGGGAGGCTGTGGACTATGAAGTTCCATTTGCACCGAGCTGCAGAGACAAACTGGGGGCTGGAAGGACAGGCTACCTTCCAATCACCGTGGGTTCCAGAATCTGGACCTCCTGGAGCGCCCTGCCAGGGAACAAACAAACAGTGCACGGCAGGGAACCACCACAGTTAGCAGGAAAATGTTAAGCAGTGGAGAAGTACCCAAGTCTAGATGGAACACATAAATTATAATTTGGATGCAAATCAAATAAGCTATTTAATTAAGATCCAGCTAATTGGTCTAGGATTTCTCTTACAGCTGGGGTTGTCTGAGCACCTCACCCTCAGGGCACTGGCAGGGAAGCCAGCCTGCTGTACATTATGCTTTATCTTCCCCACAGAGCTGGACTCTGGCCTGGCTCTGGATGCACAGGGGACAGGCAGGCTGCTAGAAATCAAACACTGATTTTGGAGAGATGGTGATGGACACGAACCCTCTGGTTGACTCTCTCTCCTGGGGCGGTGAAAGTTCAGGTGTTGTAGCAGCTGAGGACTCCATTTTAGGTCTGAAGCTAGTCCAGTGAGCAACCTGAGGCCGTTAAGACACTGCCAGGAATTCCAGGAACAACAGACCTGGGATGTTCTCACACCTGCAGCTCACATCAGCAGGGACAGATGGTGGCCCTTTCCTTTAAAAACATCCCTCCCCCTTTAGCTGGGCTTCAGTTCTAAATCAGACCATGGGAACTCAGGACAGCTGCAGTTTAATTAAGTAAAAAAAAGTCAACTGATTAAAAAAAAAAAGGTCTGGGTGGTGGTAGCACATGCCTTTAATTCTAGCACTTGGGAGGGAAGCATAGGCAGGCAGATTCTGAGTTTGAGGTCACCATGGTCACAGAGTGAGTTTCAGGACTGCTAGGGCTACACAGAGAAACCCTGTCTTAGAAAAACAACAACAACAACAAAAACCCTGCTCTTAATGAGTCTGGCACCCTTGTCCATCTCTGTATTTTCTCCTCACCTCCCACCAGGCCTAGCTGGTTTCTAGCACTGGGTTTCGAGGAAGGGATGTTAAGGCCTCCACCAAAGGGTGGGGCCTACTTGGTACTGCACTGAGGACCTGTCTATCAGTCTGTATGGAATAGTCACACTAAGGAATCCTGGGTTCCACTGGTCCTAGGCCCAAGTAGGGAGTGGAACAGGCTAGCCTCTCAAGTGACCTGGAGTAGAATATGCAGGCTATAATACCCTCAGGCCTGGCCTTTAGAGTAAGTGTGTTTAAGTCAGGACCAACTCATACCCACCATGCCATGTAGATATGAATTCTGCCTGGAGAATCTTCCAGACATTCAAAGGTGCTGACAGAATTTGGTGTATGCCTTCTTAAATGGGGCCTAGTCTGGTAGAAGCAAAGATGGGTTTCTCTGGACCCTGCCTTAAGGAGACCAAAGTGGCAGAGTAGCTACCTTATCCCCATGTGGCCCTGCAAGGACCTGGAGAGAGATCCACACAGGCATGAGAGGGGATTTCTTCCTTCTGACTTTTAAACTACTCAGACTCTCAAGGAGCCAACAATGGGTATCCCAGAAAAAAACCCTGAGAGTACAAGGGCATGTGTGGCAACCCTAACGTTCTATTCACTGTAGCCTCAGATCCCTTGAGGGAATTCCAAAGGCACTCCTTCCTGGGTTACAGGGACCAGGAGAATGCATGAGCACCCGTGAAACAGGTCTCTAGGATACTGGCTGCTTGTGCCAGACAGTTTTGTCAGCTTGTTGATACAAGTTAGTCATCTGAGAGGAGGGAATCTCAACTGAGAAAATGCTTCCATAAGATGTGATTAATGGAGGAGGGCTCAGATCACTGTGGATGGTGCCATCCCTGGGCTGGTGGTCTTGGGTTCTATAAGAAAGCAGGATGAGCAAGCCATGGGGAGCAAGCCAGTAAGCAATACCCCTCCATGGCCTCTGCATCAGCTCCTTCCTCTAGGTTTCTGGCCTGTTTGAGTTCCTGCCCTGACTTCCTTCAATAATGGACTACAATGAGGAAGTGTAAGTCAAACATACCTTTTCCTCCCCAGCTTGCTTCCTGGTGTTTCATCACAGCAATAGAAACCCTAACTAGAATAGTCTTTGATGGCATGGCAGGCCAATGGTGAGGGTGGCCCTCAGGCAGTGTGGGTCAGAAAGGGGATGGGTGAAACATGGGTTTTGGACACTATCCTAGGCTGTCCCAAACTTCTAAACAAGACACTGGGGAATTGTGCCTTTGAGTTATGGCCACATGTTCACCTGGGTATATGCTATTCACCTGCCCACACATACCCAGCCCAGCCTGGCATACTGCCCAGCCCAAAGCCCTGCCTAGCTGGAGCCTCCTGAGCAGAGAGAGACATTTATAGTTTGCTTCCTCGTTGGTTCAGAATGTTCTAGTATTTGGGTTTTTCATTAAGTAATTTTCTTCCCTATTAAGGCACATTAGTAGGTTTTCATGTGTTTAAGAACCTTGCAGAGCCTGAGGGGATGGAGGAGGTAGGACCAGTACCTTGCAGGACACAAGACCTACAGCAGCCCCACGTGGGCTATATGTGGTGTGGCACTTCACCTTCAGACCTTGAGCAGGCACCAGGATATAGATACTGATGCCTCCATTTGTGGGCATTAGCATCTGGACCTGGGCAGGCCACCATTGATGCTGCCTGCCTTGGAAGGAGCAAGAGAGGGGGTGCTAAAGAGAAGCTTAGTTAGGGGCATGGTAGATAGTGAGGCCCTCTGCCTGAACCTGGACCTCATGCTCTCTGAAGACCTCCTGTGCAGGCAGGACATGCCAGGAGAGAGTATTTGTCTGTCCCCTACCTTCTTTCTCTGTTAGACACCACTCATGCCCCCAGCATTTTCCAGGGAGCCCATATCACATGGGAGAAAGAAGTGTGCCCAGCCTTTACCTCTGGCCATCTATACATGAAAACTGAGAATGGGTAGGGCCCACAGGGCCACATGAGGGAGTGAGGGAGGCTGCAGGGCCATGGTACCTCCCCTGATGGTAGCTTAGAAGTGGTCAGATCAGTTCTCCAGGGATCTTCCAGTGGTGCCCCTCCCAGGGCTTGTACTCAAGGGCCTGTACCTTTCTGAACTCCTCCCAGGAGTTGGTCCAAGTCCAGAAGTGGGCCTTGTACTGGCCAAGAGTGACTGCCATCAGTGTGTTGCCACGGTAGTAAAATATGGGCCTGTTGTGTTGAGGAGAGAAAGAATCATGATCAAGTCCTTGTATTCATGTGTGGGGCTTCTGGAGTGGTGAGCTGCCCATGCCTCCAGACAGGTGTTGGCTAACACTTTAAAGATGGACTAAGGCCACAAAGTATAAAAAGTAGGAGGGGACAGGGGTGTGTGGCTCAGTAGAATGCTCTCCTAACATTCATGAGGTCCTGGGGTCCCACTTGGCCCTGTGTGTATGGTAGTCAACAAGGCTATAGGGATTGGCCCAGGTCATTCCCTGCTTGTTCCTGGCCTTTGATGAGGCAAAGCCAGGCCCTAGGAGGTTGGGCTGGCAAAGGAGTTGAGCTGGTGATAATGAGATCCCTCTTCTTGGAAATCAGTTGGGTCTGGGACTGGGAGAAGCCTACATATGCTAGGACACCCCTTCCCCCTAAAGCCTTAAGATGTTTTCCTAAGAGTCAGGGCTTCTCAGTGCCCCAGTGGGCCCAGGCTGGTCTCCTTCCCAGGTACATACTCCACAGCTACAAGGCTCCCCATACCATCTTGTCTCCCTCTGTTCCCGCATCTATACTCCTGCTTCCTTCCATATGGGTCATAGCTAGCCAATGAGGAAGTTATAGCCTGTGAGAAGCGCTGGGCCCCATCAGAGGAGCAGGGCAAGGGAGGGAGGACTAGGACTGAAACGGATGTTGTCTAGCACCAACCTGTCCATGGTGTGGCCCTGAAGCATGCTGGGGAGTAGGTCAAGTCCGTCGATTACCCTGTCACTGGGTGGCTTCAGGCCTGCAAGGGACAGGCTGGTGGTAAAGAGGTCCATGATGCTTCCTAGCTGGTGGCTGACCTGAAATGGATGTAGTACTCCTTGAGACATCCTGAGCAGATGGTGTTTGGGGGCTGGAGCCTCTGGGTCTGCAGATGTGCACACATGCTCCAACATGTTCATATTTGGCACATGCCATGGGGAGGGGGGTCACAGCCAGGGTTGAGTGGAGTCATAGGGATGGTAGGTGGTAGATGGGACTTAGACTGCATATTTGACCCCAGAGTCAGGCCACATTCATGCCCCACTTCTGCTACACATGGATCAGCTGTCATAGCTAGACCCAGAATGCTAGCATCTCTTCCTGGCTCTTTACAGAGAAACACAAGGGTCCCTCCTTTCAAGGCTCAGCTGTCCCAAGAGAGTAGGGACATTTTAACACGTGACACCTGAAAGCTACTATGAGCTTTGTACATCGAAAGAGAACAGGTCAGGAAAGTCCCAGAAGTAGCAAGGAGGCCAGGTGGGGAGGAACCAACCCAAATGGTGCTGCTCCTGCCCCACCCGGTGAGAAGCTCCAAGAGAGGCAGGGGCACTTGCCGGGTCCACTACTGTTCATCTGTGGATGTATTAGCCCTGTGGGAAGCGTGCATGACTGTTTTCTGCTCATGTTCAAGGGCATCCCCAGTCAGTAAGTGGCTGGGGGTCTTCTGTGACTCTGCCTCTTCAGTAACACTGATCTCCTTCATGGTCTCACCCACCCCCAATATCCTCTAAGTGCTGCTGTGCTGGAGACAGGCAGTGTGCATGTCTTTTTCTTGACCTCTGTGGCTTGGGAAGGCCAGCGTACGATGAGCACAGTCTGTGGAAAAGGGCATCTGTGGTCCTCTAGGAAGACATGACTCCACAACAGCCCGTCCGGACCTCAGCCCGAGTTCAGTTTAGACAGCACTGCCCTTATCACTCCTTGCTTGGCCCTTATTCAATTGTGCCAGCTCGAGACACCGTTTGAATAAACCTCGAATAAACTTGGTCAGACCCTGACCACGGAACCTCCTGTTCCCCTAAGGCTTGCTGAAATCCTCTGCCTCTATGATGAAACTACCGTCCCTTCCTGCATTGCTTGACTCAGTCACGTATCACCCACATCCTGATAGCTTGGGGGTGGGGGCAGTTTCTAAAGATAAAATGGCCTTGTCTGGACAAACAATCCAAGAGAGACCCTTGCAATCTGCATGTACTTTCTGCTGTAGCACCTAGTTCCTCATTCCCAAACCTCACAACCAGTGCCCCCACCCCACGCAGACCCCTCCTTTTCCACAGGAACACGGCTGTCCTTCACTGCTTGAAATAAAAGTCCCATCTGTTGAGGTCGCTCAGACTCTCGTCTCTTTCTGAAATCTGACAGACATGACTGTTACCATGCAACAAGGTCCCTGTCTGACATGGACATGCTTCTATAGAGCCTGATTGGGATCATTCTTACAGGTGCCAGGGTCTCCCTACCTATGGCAGCAGGGGAACAACAGAGGCCTTCTGAAGCCTTTGCAGGGAACAGAGCCTTCTGAGTGGTTCATGGTCCCTGCTACGTATTTCCCTCCAAAAAAGAGGGAAGTGGAGGGGGGAATCCAGAAACTTGCATCATTAGGAAAAAAATAAGGGAAGGGAGCATGTTCCACGGCTGAGGTGACTGAAAGGAGGGGATCTGCCAGCTCTGCCAGTGCAGCTGATCATACACGGGCTGTTTGTGATACTGTACTGAACAGCAGGAGGGTGCTGTCACCTTCTTCAAGATGAAACAGGATCAAAGGCTGCAATTATACTACCGCTGCCAGGTGCGGCAACAGGAAGGCTGTGTCTGCTGCAGGGTGTTTTAAGTTATTACAGAGCACAGCCTGAATCCCATGTGATTCCATTCCAGTTTGTTGTCTTGTGGGAAGCATAGTGAAAGAAAGCCGCAGCTCTGGAGCACTGCTATTTCTCTCCTTAGAAGGCAAGGCTGTGCGTCTTTGACCCCAGCGTCGTGCCTCCGGAGGGCATCTGTCAGGAACAGCTGTAGAAGCAGATGCTCTGACCCAGTGGCCACACGCACAGAGTTAGGCACCCTGGGCCGCAGGCAGCTCCAGTTCTCTTTCCAGTTGTCCCTCTGAGCTGTGCCAGTGCCAGGTGGGGGCGGGGTCTAACCTAGGATTGGAAATGGCTCCTCATGGGGGAACAAAGGCTATGCCAAGTGTCCCTTCCCAGGAAAACCTCATGTGTCTCCCATTCCCTGCCCGATGACAACGACATGAGAGCTGGGAGTGATGGCTTTAGGAAAGGAAGGGTTGGTGCAGCTGTGGGCTAGGTCCCTCTCCTGAGGGTCAGATGGTCACGGCCAGTCTGAGTGTCCATTAGTATCCCAGTAGCCATGTTTCTTCTACATATGATGTGTTTACTGCCATGGGCACTCTGTTCTACAGAGGGAGCTGGCCAGATGACAGGCAGGCCTGTTCAACAAACTCTGAGATCCACCAACCTGTGAGGCTCTGGGATTAGTGTGACCTGGAAGTCCCATGTCAAGAGGCCCTAGGCAGAGGGTAGTGAGGGACAGAGGCTCAAGCAGGTCTAGGTTTATAAGCTAGATACTGAGGGTAAGTCTCATGGCTGGACACCTGGGGGTTGTCGCCAGGTCTGCCGTAGTAGCTGGCAGACTGGACAGGCGACCTCTCTGGGCCTCACTTTCCCAACATGTGCAATAGAGGAAGTGTAAAGATTGTGTCTGGCAGTATGGTAGCCACGAGGGACATCTGTATCGCAATCCCTGAACTCTGTGCTATAGGATATCACACAGCAATAGGCAGATAAGACAGTGGGTGGGATTCAGGATGTGCATCGTCTGGTCTCTAGCAGGAGACTGGCCTGTACCCTCCATGCAAGCCAGTACTTGCTAGAGTCAGCTATTCTGTCCACTCCTGAGAATATGGAGGCTCCCACTGCAGGGTGAACTGAGGAACCCAAAGGGAGGCACTGTCTCCAAGATCGCTGGAGGAAGAGGTCAGCTGAGGAACAGTGACAAGAATGTTAATCTCAGCAGCGAGCACTGAGCGTGGTGACTACAAGTTCTGCAGAGGATTCTTAGACAAGGGGTGGCCTACCTGGGGCCAGAGCTGGAGGTGAGGGTGCTGCGTGACATGAAGGTGGCCAGACTGGGGCAAGATACACACTCACCCACTTGAGGCCCCACCTCTGGTCTTTGCCACAAAGGCATCAGGATCTCATGGAGGGCTGCAGCTGTCCCTGGTGATAAGTCCACAGAACATGGGCAGTCAATTGACTACAGAAGCCTCTTTATCATCTGGCACCAGTGTCCCCAGAGACCTTGCAGGAGATACAGCTTCAGTGTGGAATGCTGACTCACCTGGCCTGCAGCAATGTGCCCCGGCCACCAAGCGATTGCAGGTTCCCTCATCCCACCTTCAAATGTAGTCTGCTTCCCACACAGGAAGGGACCATTGCTGCCACCTGGGGATGAGAGTCACCACCTATCAGCCTCAAGATCTCAGGGCTCAGATCCTCTGGGGAATGAGGGAGACACAGCACCCCTGCTGACAAGTGGCTTACCCTGACTTCTGAACTCCTGGTTAGACACATTTGAGTCCTGAGGTCATCACAGGGACAAAAGACCAGGAGGAGGAGGTCAGGTTGCAGATACAAATCAGAAAACCTGGGTGGTTCTGACCCAGACAGCTAAGATGCTCTGGCTATAGCTTTCCAGACAGAACAGAAAGTTCTTGCCTCACTAGGAGCCACCAGCCTACTAGGAGTCACTGCTCAGAAATAGAAAGCAGTCATAAAAGCCCGTTCCTATCACAGCCATAGACACTGATGTTTTTCAGTTAGTGTTATTAGATGCTAATATTCACAGGCATCATGTAATGGGTGGGCCCTACTTAAAATGCAGCCTCTTCCAGATTCCCTCTTGTCTTTACACCGTCTGTAGGGTAGGGCGCACAGCTAGATTTTGAAGATACTAGCCCCTGAATAAGCCTGTGGGAAGCTGGTAGGGCAAAGTCCTTTTACATCTTTATCCTAGACACAAGGAAGAATTCCAAGGGTCTTGGAGCTGGGTGGGCCTGGTCCACAAGGACAGATGCCATAGCATGAGCTGCTGAGATTCTACCTCAGGCCCCAAGACACAAAGGTAAGGAGAAACAAAGTGTTTTCCCAGTGAAAAGTCACACAAGACTCATCCATGGAGACAGCAGTCACTGTGCTCTGTAGCTCCTATGGAAACCTACTTCTTCTCCATAGGCAGCAGACATAGCAGTGTGAACAGAACTCAAGCCAGAAGCCCCAGCAGCTCTTTTCACCCCTCACCAGGCTAATAGCACTGATGAGAAACAGGCACAGATACCATTAAGAAGAGATGGTAGGTAGCAAGAAAGTTGTGTCTGGGGAGGATACCCAGGGCCTGAAGGTGACCATATTCTACTTTTTTTTTTTTTTTTTTTTTTTTTTTTTGGTTTTCTAAGACAGAGTTTCTCTGTGTAGCCCTGGCTGTCCTGGAACTCACTCTGTAGACCAGGCTGGGTACCTGCCTCCGCCTCCTGAGTGCTGGGATTAAAGGTGTGTGCCACCACTGCCCAGATCTATTTCTACTTCTTAAACTAGGTATGGGAATGTGGGTTTTTTTTTTTTTTTTTATTTTAAGAGGTTTTTTTTTTATGTTTTAAAAACAAGCTCTGACAAGTTTTATTCAAGAACAACTTTCCTGGTTCAGTTTTCATCAGTCTGCTCCAGAGTGACTCTGGTAATATTAGAATCACTGGATCAGTGATAGCCAGCATGCGTACTCTGTAGTATTTTCTGCATACTGTGTCCAATTCAATATTATTGCCACTATAGTGGTGGACACTAGTTTTGGTCAACAAAGCATAGTATTCTATTTCAGATTTCCTCAAAGCTGGGCAGTTATTGGCAAGGATAACCAACTTCACTTTGCCTTGTCTGGTTATGTTCAAAGTCCACTTGTATTTTTCCCAGCATGTATTTTTCCACTTTTTATAACAAGTTGGAGCCTAGACTTGACAGACTCCAGGGACTTTGTTCACCTTCTTTATGGCCACCATCTGCTACCTTAGGTGCAAGAAGGTTCTTGCTCTCCAACCTTAAGCTGCCAAGATCTTAAGGTAATCGTTAGAAATGATACCATTTCCCTCTGCCTAGCACCTTCTGTCCCTAAGAGTTGGCCAAATAGGTAGCAGCTGAGCTCTGGGTATCTGCTGAGAGGTGAGGGAGTCCTGCTCTTTTCTCTGAGATGTATGTGTAGAGCTTGTATGAGAACTAAGGTCATTGTGGATCACAGAGCAGGGCATCAAGAGCCTCCAGGTCAGCCTGGCTAGACTTGGTGGTCTTTTCTATTGCCAAACCAGCTTTTCTTTGGTTTATGATGGTTGTACTGGGTTTCTTCACCTGAAACCAGGAAGCCCCAGGACACTCGGTAGTAGGACTGCCTGAGCCACTTGAGGTATCAGAGCCCAAATTGCCTAAGGACAGTACAGGCTGAGGAGATTACTGGGCCCTCAGCCTTGACAGGTAGCCTCATATTAATAGTTGACCCCCGCAGCACCAAAGGTGACTGTCCCAGGCTCACTCACTGGACGGCTCCCAAGACTGAGGAGGTTTTCCTGTCACCTCTATAGCGGCCAAACAAGCTCTACCCCAGCACCACCAGGTATTCTGCCAAAGCCCTGGCTGTCAAATCTCCTGTAGCCTGAGTCTGCTGGAAATTGGCTTCTTTCAGGTAAGGACTGTCTTGAGAGAGCATCTCCTCCCCCTGACACTTGCCTGTTCCTTTCTCTCAGAGGATTCAAATTCATGTGAACCCAGGCCAGACCTGAGTCAGCAGGGTCAAGACCTTGCTGCTAGGTTCTCTATTTTGGGAGGCTTTTGTCTGTGAGCCACCTTCTAGTCATGACCTGGGGCCAGAGGACAGGAAGCAGAACTTGCCTTCTTTGGGAGCAGAAACGAGGGCTGCACCGTTATCAGATGTGAAGAAGACAAATGTGTTCTTACTGATGCCCAAGTTCTGCAGAAGGCTCAGGATTTTCCCAACACTGTCATCTATTTCTCGAACAGCATCACCATACCTGCAGGGGAAGATGACATTCTATCAGGCAGCCAAGGGCATTAGTGTGACCCAAATACTAATCTTATCACTTCAGAGATGACCAATGGGGCAGCCGGCTACTTCTCAAAGGGAAGTTCCAGCTCAGGTTCAAATGGTTCATTGTAAACAAAGCAGATATAATCAACACGACTTTCTTTTCATCACTGATCCTGGGCTGGAGGAGGTTAAAGACGGATGTTTTGTATCTTTCTTTCTTTTATGGTGCTGGGGATTGAAGCCCCTAGGGTTCAATGGCCTCATGTATGCTAAGCAATTTTCACCACTGAAAAACATCCCAGCTGCTTTGGACTTCCCATAATGGCTCAGAGCACCCATCCAATGATACTGAGCATAACTGAGGGCCCCAGTGGAGCTTATGACTCACCGCCCTCGAAGGCTGGTACCCAAGAAAGGTCTTGAGGCATAAACTGGTGCATGAGTGGCGTCGATGGCCCAGTAGAGGAAGAAGGGGCTCTGCCTTGCATGCTGTGTCCTGATGAAGTCCAGAGCTTCCTGTGGGAAAGGCCTCCATTATCCTCTGCTTCAGGTCAATTCATTCCCCCTGCCTCCCCAGCTTCCTCCTGCCTCCTTACCTTGACGGGCCCACTCAGCCTTACCTGTAAGTAGAGTTGGGTGAGGTTAGCTTCCCCGGTCTTCAGGTTAATTGGGAATTCTTCATAAAATCTGAAAACAAAAAACAAAAATCAGAATTTAGTCAAGAAAGCCCCTTCCTCAATTTCACTGCAAAGTCAGAAATGTTCCGAGTGAAGCTTGCTTAGGTGAAGATCCTGTCTGAGGCAACAAGGCTCGGGTGGCCCCAGAATGTAAGAGTATAGAAAAGATGGGTGTGTATGTGTTCTGTAGAGATCAGACAAGGCCCAAAGGTGTAGCTGAGGACATAGGCTTTAAAAATAAATGCATGTGTGCACAGGTACACACGTAAGTGCAGGTGTGCACACAGTGGGTGCACACATATGTAGAGGAGGGAGGACAATCTCCTTTGAGATGGCTCTGTCTCTCTCTGTGTGTCTTATTGCTGATTTTTTTTTCTTTTGACACAGGGTCTTACTGTGTAGCTCTGGCTAGGCTATGTAGACCAGGCCAGGCTGGCCTTAAACTCATAGAGATCTGCCTGCTTTTGTGTCCCCAGTGCTAGGATTAAAGGGGTGTGCTGGGCCAGAGTCTCTTATTGGTTTGAATTCACCAACTAGACTGGTGGGCTAGTGAGCCCCAGGAGCCTCCTGTTTCAGCCTCCCCAGCACTGGGATTACAAAGGCATGCCATCCTGCCCAGCTTCCTACACTAGCACCAAGGACTGGACTAAGGTTCTCATGTTTGTGAGGCCAACACTTGATTGGCTGAGCTGTCCTCCCAGCTCCCAGAGGCTTTTTTTAGAGAGGTGAAGATGTTCTAGAGCCTGCTGCGGGGATGGCTGTCTCTGAGTACACCAAGGGCCCTTGAACAGCCTACTGCAGAGATAAAGCACTCATTTTTAAAAGGGCAATGTTTGGCTCAACCTTTAGGTTTGCTGATATAAGAACTTCCACCCAAGGGGGACCTGTAGGGCCCTGGCCCCTGTTTTGGGTAACTGTTGCTTTGCTTGCTGACCTTGACCTTGATATCCTCCTCCCTATGCTAATTCCCTGCCGGGTTCCACCCTCCTGAATGCTTAAGGGAAGATCCTTGTCTGTGTATCCTACATAATGGGCGTTAACAGCTTAGATGCAAGATTGTAAAACATTGGTTGTAAACTTCTGCCTTCCGGGGTTCTCCCATTGTGCTGTAAGCCTGTATTTAAGACCTCCTCCCTCCTTCAATAAACAGCATTCAGCATTAAATTAAAAAAAAAGACTTTCTATTGGAGAAGAAGGAGGAGGAGGAGGAGGAGGAGGAGGAGGAGGAGAAGGAGAAGAAGAAGAAGAAGAAGAAGAAGAAGAAGAAGAAGAAGAAGAAGAAGAAGAAGTAAACTTTAAGACTCCTATTCGAGGGGGCTGGAGAGATGGCTCAGTGGTTAAAAGCACTGGCTGCTCTTCCAGAGGAAGATTCAGTTCCAGGGGATCTGACACCCTCACCCAGACATACATGCAAGCAAAACATCAATGAACACAAAAAGAAAAGATACATGAAATAGAAATTATCTTTAAAAAAGCAAAAAAAAAAAAAAAAAAAAGAACTTCCACCCAAGGAAAAAATGAGGAAGGAAAGAAAAATTAAGCAATCAAAATTCAAGAAAGATGAGTAAGGTCCTTGACACCAGAGCTATAAGCTGAGGTATCCCTCCAAGGCCTGATCCAGGTGGTCTCCCCTCCAGAGCAGACCTCTTTCTGTGGTGATAATGGGCAGTCTCTGGAGTGACTCTCACATCAATTTAGCCCCACAGTCTCCTCTCTTGTGTACAGCTAATAGGCCAACTAAGTGCCTGAGGATGACAGCTACCCCACCAAGAGGGTACATGGGTCCTAGACGCCCCCTCCCAAATATAAGCTATGAGCACACCTTGGATATAGGAGGATATTTGAGTCACATGTCTGAAAGAAATCTATGACTCTGGAAAGGTTAGAGATGACCTCAGGTGAAACTCGAGGTCCTGGGCAAAACTGCTTAAGAAGCAGAGTTCTAGCCGGGCGGTGGTGGCGCACGCCTTTAATCCCAGCACTCGGGAGGCAGAGCCAGGCGGATCTCTGTGAGTTCGAGGCAAGCCTGGGCTACCAAGTGAGTTCCAGGAAAGGCGCAAAGCTACACAGAGAAACCCTGTCTTGAAAAACAAAACAAAACAAAACAAAAAAAAAAAATCCCAGCACTCGGGAGGCAGAGCCAGGCGGATCTCTGTGAGTTCGAGGCCAGCCTGGGCTACCAAGTGAGTTCCAGGAGAGGTGCAAAGCTACACAGAGAAACCCTGTCTCGAAAAACCAAAAAAAAAAAAAAAAAAAGAAGAAGCAGAGTTCTTACTCTCAGCACACAGGGTACCAGATACCAGCTGGTAGTTCAAGAACATCAGCCCTGTTCCTGGGCAAGCACTAGAGACAAAGGGCAGGGGTGAAGGCAGGCCACAGGGATGGGGCAGGAGGGAAGGGAAGGGGCTCTGTTACCTGCCAACCATCTCCCAGTCCCTGTACACAGGGATGTTGGGCTTGACCTTGTTGTCGTAAGGTCCAAAGTGACAGTTGGGGGATCCAAACCACTCATCAAATCCATGTTTCAGGGGGTGGAACTGGGGTCTGTGACCTAGATGCCTAGGAACAGGAACCAAGACACTTCAGAGACCCCCTCACTGGGGACACTCCAATGTTTTGATCAACAACAATCCATCACCATCACAATTGCTAACCAATTGCCAGTATTCTAGCACCCCAGGGTCTAGAGACACCAAAATACAAAAGGTCAAGACCTCACTTCAAGAGGGAGCACAGGAACCCATCTGTCCTCCCCAGAGCTCTAGGCATATCCAAGGGCATCCAAGCATAACCGAGGGCATTCCAGCGAGCAGAGAGTCCTGGCAAAGCCAAGGGCTTCCAGGCACAGCCGAGGGTGTCCCAGCACAGCCAATGGCATCTGGGCACGGTGAGACACAGAAGAGGGTTTAGGGGTCCTTCAGGATCTGCAAAGAAACCCTGAAGGACAGTGCCTGGAGAGAAGTCTCCCAAATGCCTTGAAAGCAGCAGGATACAAATGCCCATTTCAACCATCTCCAGACTCAGCAGCTTCCGCCTGCCTTTCTTTACCCTCAGGGACACTCCAAGGACTGTGTTTCTCCCTTGGGCTTTTAGTCAGGCAGGTCACTGCTCCATCTGTTAACACAAACGTCAGAGTATTATCCCAGCCAAGGAAACACACCAGGAAGGTGGCTGGGTGGGAAGATGATACAGTGCTTAGGACTGTCCCCTCATCCTCAGAGCCTGGGGCAGGAACTGATATTGGAGTGAACCAAAAGAACATGGCAGCACGCCTGCTCTGGTGATAGTGCAAGCTATGTGGAGACCTAGAGATGAGAGGGGTCCACGGAGGAAAGCGTCACAGGGTAAGGGCCTTAGGCAAAGCTGCAGGATCCCTTTGTGAGCCGCGCCCCCTCAATGCCAGATATTACCCCATGTTCTCCCATCCGGCCTCCTTTTCTTTCAGGGACACTTAATCATACTTCCTCCATCCACTAATAACCACAGGAAGGCTGCTGAGAGGTGCCACGATCCCAACTCCAACGCCAAGCATCAGTGGGTCAGCAGTCCTGAGGTAATCCTGGAAGCAGAGCCTGTCCTTCCTGGGGACTCCAGCTCCTACCTGCTCTCCAGAGCACATGTTAGACCACCACTAACTCCAAACTAAGCTATATGTGACATTATCATCTAGCCTGGGACACAGACCTGTTTATCTGTGTTGTACACGCACACCTGCAGAAAGCCTTTTTCAGGTACAGCTTTAACACAGCATCCGTGAGGTGGAGTGTCCTTCTCCCAGCTGTCCTGGGGATAGGCTATCTTCAAGGAGGCTCCACCTTGACCTTTCATCCAGGTACAGAGTGTGCAGATCCAAGGCTACCACTCCATGGGTAGGGTTAAAGGGCAGCAGAGAAGTCTTGGGGGATAACTGGCTGGTCAACAACTACTTGACCTGCTCTCCGGAGAAGAGCATCTATCTAGAACCAGTTTCCCCACTTCCTGGGGAGACCGGCACAGCATGGCTGGCTCTGCGGTGCTTGGTGTGCCTAATGGCGACACAGTGAACTTTTCGAGCTCTCCTCTGACCTTCACACACTCAGTCTGTAGTTACCCCTTTAGGGACTAGTGCACCACTATGGTACAGTGACATCTCAGATCCTTAAGCCAGCCTGCACTACATCCTCCATGTTGAACCTGCTCTCAGGCCCACTACAAGACACTGGTCCTTTCTGAATACTGCAGAGAAGATAGGAGGACCCTTGTGTCCATGTCCAGCATTTTATAGTCTCTGTGTAGGAGAAGCATGACCAGTGCCCTGCCTGAACACAGCTATAATTCTGTACACTTGGTCCTAACAGTGGTTGGTACCAACCAGCAGGTGAACAGGACTGGGGAGTGGGCTGGCAGTTTCCTGAGATTTGTGTTCTAGCCTCATTCGCCCACATTTGGCTGCTGGCAGATTATGCAGTCTACTTGCAGGAGTCTAGTCTCTGTCCATGCAGGACTTGGTCAGGGAGATGAAATCTAGACCCTCAGTGCTGAGGTCTGCATAAAGGACACAGGGCAGTACTGGCTGCAGCTGATAGCACCGGACTAAACCCTGCTCATAGAAGAGCAACTGAAGATCTGCCTCCAGCCTCTGAGAGCCTGGTCCCACCACAGTGCCTCTTTCAGAGTCTATCAGAGCTGTTCCTCTTGGTCTCCTCTTTCCTATCAGAAGTTACCCAGGAAGATCAGTGACTCTGTGGAAACATGATTCCTGTTCAGCTCTGGCATCTTCAGCCCTGACAGCAGGAAGCTGTGGACCTGGCAGAACTGTCAGGCAAGACACAGGCATCTCTGGTTGTGGGGCCTCCAGCTCTTTCTTGCCTGCCTCTGCCAGGGTTCCCTGGACTCCTTGCCACCTGCTTGGGGATTGTGCAGATGAGGAGGGACCCGATGCTTGTCAGCTCTTCTCTGCTACCACCCCCTGGTTATGGCCAGGTTTCATTTTTTGCTTGCAAGGTGACAAATGTTTCTTAGGCAGCTCTAGGTTGCCTAGATTTCCTAGTATCAGGTTTTCCACCCTGTGACTAGCAACAGACTCAGAGAAACCATCCCCAAGGGGAGCCACGTGCGGGGCCATGAGCAGTGAAGATCACAGAGAACAGAAAACAGGGGAAGACTTTCTGAGGGAAGGGATCTGCTTGGCTTTAGGCTGGGGAGAGCTCCATCGGGGGATCATGGGATGCTTCAGGAGTAAAAGAGATGGACGTCAGTGCTAGAAGCCAGCAACAGTGAAGCGACAGAAGCAGCTATGGACATGTTGTTCCGTCTCACACTCAGCCACCTGCTGCTCCACTGCTCCTACCTAGCACTTCTTTGTGACTTATGATAAAGTTTGTCACTAGACAGAAACCCTCTGGTGACTAGCAAACTGTCTCATCTGTATGCAAGTATGTGGTTGGCTCACTTAGTGACATTTTACTGTGGCCACAGGCATGGGTGGGTCAGAGAGGGCAGAAAGTATGGTGGGAAGGGGGAGGATGGGGACGACTGTGTGCTTGCTCAGTGTCATGCTGCGACAGCTTTGCTGGACGCTGGTGTCTCGACCTCCTGCTGGACTTTAGATTTCGATTTTTTAATTTAATTTTATTTGAGACAGGGTCTCACTTTGACTATCCTGGAGCTTGCTCTGTAGACCAGGCTGACCTCAAACTCACAGAAATCTGACTGTCTCTGCCTCCACCACTACACTTATCAAGTTCCTGACTTTAAATACCAAGTTCTTTTTTTATATTTAAAAAAGATGTATTTATTTTTATTTTATGTTCATGGATGTCTGTGTACTATGTGTGTGCCTGAAACACCAAGTTCTTAAAAGCTCCCTGCAGATAGATGCCAGGTGGTGGTGGAGCATGCCTTTAATCCCAGCACTCAGGGAGGCAGAGGCAGGTGGGGAAAAAAAGTCCCTGCAAAGATTATAGACGGCACACAGCTATAATCTCAGCATGTGGAAGGCTGAGGCAGTGGATCATGACACCTCACTGTTGGTATTCTGGCCCACCCACCTGCAGTCCCCCCCTCCTCTCTATTCCCACGAGTTGTGCACCCCTCCTTTCCCATCTCTCTTTCCCACTCTTTCCCTCTCCCCCTCTCTTCCCCCCACCAAATAAAACTCTCCGCTGAGCGCTGCTTGCATGGCACTGAGCGCTGCTTGCATGGCGTCTCTGTCTCTCACCCGCTGTGGAGCGCCCTGGCCCAGCCCCCCCATCCCCCCTCACAGGCCATGTCATTACATTGATGCTGTGTGACCTGGCTGGTTTCCCCTGGTGTTTTCTCTTACACGCAGGCAATCTGAGTAACGCTGGGACCCTGTACCGTCTAACACCATCACTTTTCCAACTTCCAAATGGAGGACCCCTGGGACACCCTATCGGTAAGATTCCCCCCTTTCCTTCTGGTCATTTTCCACGAGTGAGGATTCGTCTTCTCAACCATGGGCTCTCGCCTCTTGGCGCCGTTCAAGACCCAGTACCGGGCACCACGCTTCTCGGGCCCTCCAGCCCGTTTCTATGCGACAGCATGTGGCGACAGCTTGTGCCCACTCACTCCATGGTCCATAGCCTTTGGATGACAGTCCACTGGCTATTTTGACCCATCATTGGTCCTGACCCTCTGGGACGCCGGAGGTCAGTCTGTTGGACCTTGTACCTCACTCTGGAAAATGCGCCTACTCTCCTATTCCAGCTCCTTCCTTATTGCCCGCTCCCTCATGATCCTCCATCAGTTACATCATCCATCACCTGTCGTCAGGTCCTTTGCCACGGCATGTGCACCTTTAAAACTGCCCCTCATCCCTCCCCTCTGTAATTTCACCCCCAGGCTCTTTGCTCTCTCTTGCTTAACTCTGCTGCCAGGGTCTCACCCACCTGTTGCCCCGCAGACCCCGGCACCGCCATTTCCTGCAGCTGCCTGGCCCCTTCCCCCTCATGGTTTTGCTCGCAAACTATGTCATGCTGTCTGTCTCTGTTCCCTGTTTCTCACTCTTCTCCCTCCTCCTGCCACCACCACTTGGGGCAAGCCGCTCGGAGCCAAGCCCCGCCCCCCTCCGAGGGTAGCCCCTCCCCCCTCCGAGGGTCCGCCTTCCCTTTGCCACTAATACCGCTCGGGAGGTGGCCACATAAATATATTTCTGACTGACTTTCTTTTGTTGTTGTTTTTTGTCTTTTTTCTAGACAGGGTTTCTCTGTGTGGTTTTGGTGCCTGTCCTGGATCTCACTCTGTAGACCAAGCTGGCCTCAAACTCACCGAGATCCTCCTGGCTCTGCCTTCCAAGCGCTGGGATTAAAGGCGTGCGCTGCCACCACCCCACTCTAACTTTTAAATGTTTCAATTTATCTGTTCCTTATCTGTTCAGTTTGTCTTGGGAAAAAAAAAAAAAGAAAAGAAAACCCATGTGAACATGTGGTCAGGTGCCAGAGGGTGGTCATTGGGCAGGCAGACATCATCTTGACTAAGGTCAAAGACAGACAGATCATATGCTCTGTCGCCATATTTGATAAGGGTAATCACATGGTCAGGTAGGCACCATCTTGGCTAAGGTCAAAGAGGGACAGGTCATATGACTTCACCACCATCTTTACTAAGGGCAGCAAAAAATCACTTTCTGTCAGTGGCTCAAGCATGGGCGGGGTGCCTGGCACTTAAGCCATTTGTAGGGGGGTGGGAAAAAAAAAACTCCACCTCGAGTCAATGCGTCCCACAGGTCCAGTCGCAGCCTGGCTTTCTTTCTTCTACAGCCACCCTCCGGGGCTCTTGGGCATCAGTGGAGCTGCATGCTGACGATAGGGCCAACTTGTCAGCTCATTTTATAGATTAAAAAAAAAAAATCATGCCGGGCAGTGGTGGCGCACGCCTTTAATCCCAGCACTCGGGAGGCAGAGCCAGGTGGATCTCTGTGAGTTCGAGGCCAGCCTGGGCTACCAAGTGAGTCCCAGGAAAGGCGCAAAGCTACACAGAGAAACCCTGTCTCGAAAAACCAAAAAAAAAAAAAAAAAATCATGCCTTATTTTCCCTAAAGCTATTAGGTCTCTCAACACAAATAAACGATTTAAATGCTTCAGATTACTTTCCCCTTCTATAAATTAAGATTTTAAAATTTCAGATTTTAACATTAATAGAGTTCTGATGCAGTTTGTGTCACAAACTCAAGATTTTGGATTTTCTTTGGTTGTCTTCCAAATAAAAACTTATAGGTATGAGTCTACTGTTGTTTTTCAGATTCCTGCTCCAGATAAGGGAGTTTTCCTCATCTGTCTATTCCTGAGGATGGTATTTTTCTTTCTACTGGTCTCTCTTTCACAATTACTAAGACCATGGGCCTAAAGGCTCCAAATAAGTTCATAAATTTTAACTTTTGTCTCTGGTCAATCTGCTTCAGCAGGTTTCCACTTGGCTGGCAGACACATCCAAGCGTCAATGGCTGACTGCAACCTGCTCCAAAGGACCACGAGCTCTAGACTTGCTGCAGGCTGATATGATGTGGACCAGTCCAACCAAACGTAATTGTTCCCTGTCTCTACAGTCAGGTCAGATGACCACATACTTCCGATAAATAGCCCATTGCCTGGGTTCCCTCCTTATCTTTGACTGGCCTTTCAGCCTCCCTGAGCTCTGACCATCTATGCCCCATTTCAGCTTGAAGCAGTTATAGAAGAGCATCACCCCTGTCCCAGCACCACCCTCAAAAAAAAAAAAAAAAAAAAAAACAGCTGAAGGGCCAAGTCAAAGAAAAACCCCTGGCATAGGGGACAAATTGGCTACCTAATGCTCATTGACATACCAGGAAACTGGACCAAATATTGTCAATTGATAGATTTATTAACTAAAATAATTCTGTAATAGGATAAAATACTTGACTTTCTTTATGCAGAACCAAAGAGGCATTATATGACTTTAAGAAATAATTATTTCTATATAAATCATTCAGGATTATAATCTGGCTGTACTCAAAGATCAGAACTACAGGGCCTTAAAAATGGTAATAGATGCAGACATCGCTGCCAATGGCTTAAAAAATGTCTCTCCTTACTCAAGGTCTAGCCAGGCTTAAAAATGTAAGCCTCCTTGTCCTTGCTAAATTTATCTGTTCAGATTAACAAAAGCTAACTTAGAGATTTACACCTCTAGAAAATTTAAATAAATGATGGCATATGTTTGATAAATAAGATATTTGATAGGCAAGATGTATATCCTGTGACGGAGTTTCTGGTCCCCTGAGAGAGTCCTTTTCTTGGAGTTGGGTCACACCCTGACTCACAAACCCCTTTTGTCCTGTTACCATTTGGCTCTGGGATCTTTCTCCTGTTTTTCTTCTTTGCCTTCTCAGGAGACAGTAAGTCCTAGCCTTGTGGAAGCTGCTAAGATATGGGAGACTTGGGGAATACTAGCTGATAGTCAGCCATTCATACTTAATACACAGGCAGTCCTCAAATGCTCAGAGATATGCAGAATATAGCATTTAAAATGTTGATCAAAAAGCTTATTATATTAGACAGAGACTCCTAGAGATCCTAACAGTGAACCAAGGTCTCTGAAGAAGATTATGAGGCACCACGATGTCTCCACCTGGATTATGGCAATGCTGACCTCTGGGCAAGATGCTCCAATGTGACACCTGCTGCCAGGACCCAGCCCAGACTGTGGACAAACAACAGGACATTGGAGAATTGATTGCACCCCTTTTGCCTAGACAAAATTAAGATCAGTCTTCCCTATGTCCTTCTTCCATCGGAAAAACTCCCACCTTATGGGTCTGGTGGCAAAAGACAGACGCTGTTCTGATACTTCTGTCTCCAACGATGTGGAGACCTGGATATGGCTGACTGGGTAAGGACTGGTCCCTGTCATTTTTCAAATAGATTCAAAAGCTGCTTGGTCTGCACTCAGAAATGATTTATCCTTCTCAGATCTCTGATTCCATTTGATGACCAGGCTTTGCTTCCGCTGCCTTCTCAATTCTCTATGTAAAATTCACAGATCTCACCGGGCAGTGGTGGTGCATGTCTTTAATCCCAGCACTCGGGAGGCAGAGGCAGGTGGATCTCTGTGAGTTTGAGGCCAGCCTGGTCTACAGAGTGAGTTTTGGAGCCAGGAAAGGCTCCAAAGCTACACAGAGAAACCCTGTCTCAAAAAACAAAACAAAAAATTCACAGATTGTCCTCTCTTAGGGCTACTACTAGGTCTAGACACAATTTACCTTGTTACCAGATTAGAAAAACTCACAGAACAGATTTCAATGTAACTTTTTACTACTGACTGCTCTCAGTATATCCTGGTTTGTTTATATGAAGATAGGAAAACTATCTGATGATGTTCAGGGAAGCCTCCCTCCTCCTTCACTCACTCAACCACTTCCATTCAGTAAATTTCCTCTGGTTATAGATTTAAGAATGTGTTTCATTGGACTGAAACCAGGCCTTAAAAATGTTCATACCTTTTAACCCAAAGCCATAGCCTTTTGCTATGACACTAAGATGTAAATCTGTTCCAGTTGCTTTACACACTTACAGGTTCCTGCATGGGTCCACCCTTTCTGCCAGATGTGCCAAGACCAACCCTCAGGGGCTCTCCAGATACACCAGCCCCTGCACCAGCTCTGAGGATGCCAACCACCAACTGAAGACACCAACAGGGATGGATGCACCCCCACCTCCAGAGAACAACAGATGTGATGGTTCATGTACTCCTAAAGAACACATCATCCCTCAATTCACTGCTGGTACCACCTCTCCAAGCTCGAGCGGGCACCTGCCCAACAATGATAACTATTTTTTTCTCCTAGCAACCTGCCTTCTCACCTCCCTCAAGGAACAGATGCCTGAGATCTCCACAATAACAGCCAACTAAATGCTTCTTCACTCATACCTCCTGCCTTGTGTGACCCTGAATCCCAACTTCCCCTTCCCACTTCGCTCTAAAATCAGCAGGAAGCAGTTTTGAGAACTTAGCACTCTTTTCCCCCATTTGCTATCCATAACTCGCCTTTTCATAATAATCAAAATGGAGGGATGTTGGAATTCTGGCCCACCCCTTGGGGACTCACCCCGCTCGTCTTGACGTAAACCCTACTTTAAGAGAAAACTCCTCCTCCCCCACCTCTAGTCCCATAAGGTGTGCACCCTCCTCTCCCCCGTTTCTCTCTCCCTCTCTCTCTCTTTCCCTCCCCCTGTCTCTTCCCCCCACCAAATAAAGCTCTTCACTGAGCGCTGCCTGCATGGCGTCTCTGTCTCTCACCCGCTGTGGGGCATCTTGGCCCAAAGGCCCCGTGCGCTGTATCATTACACTCACCACTTGCCCACAATCTTGTTGGTATAGCCTGCCTTCTTCAGGAGCTCAGGCAGGAGGTGCTCTGAGTTAGGGATGCCACCCACCATCTCCTGAGGCGTGTAAGCTGGAAGAACAATACTGCATTAGAAATATCACATCTCTGTAATGGATACACACACTGCCCCATCAAGGTGGACAGGCAGACCTGTGGTCAGGCTAGAGACACTTCCCATGGTACTCCCAGGTACTCTCCAAGTTAGTACCGACATGGTGGGGATGGTGTAATGCTGCCCCTCACCCCCCCTGTCTCTCACCTCTCCAGCCTGGTTTGACATTTGATATCATGCTGTTCCCTGTAGGCTATGATCCTGGTTCTTCCCATACTCCTTTTCTTCAAAGCCACTTGAAATCCCATCTCATCTGGGACCCTATCCTTAGAGAAACCATCCAAGCTCTTGAGCTTGTTTCTAGAACACTCCCTGCTCTGACCTGAAACCTCATGGTTTTCCCAGTGGAATAGGAGCCATGCCAGGCAGTACCCAGGAGCAGGCCAAGGGTGGTGGGCGAATGCTGTGTGGTGTACCTGAGGTGCCCTAGGCCCAGCTTGGTTCTCAGTGGGCCAAGTCAGGGAGGAAGCTTGTGGCACCGGGGCTGCACTGTGGCACTCGGTTCTGCCTTAGGTTGCCTTTATTTACCGTTCCAGACCCCAAGCCTAGGACACCAGCTTTCCCTAATCTAGATAGAGGTACCTACAGGGTTATGGGGGTGGGGGTTGGGGGGCATACCATTCCTTGCATGCGCGTTGGATGTGTAGAAGCCATTGCGGATGGGCAGCCGTCCTGTGAGCAGGGCTGCCCTGGCTACACAGAAGGATAAAAACAGACACTGTGACACAAATCCAGGTAGGACCTTCAGCCAGCTCTGCAGTGCCTCCCACGTTCACAGTTCCTGGGAGGTGTCTGTCATGAATGCATCAGGCTGACACCCAACTGTTGCGTTTCAATCCCCTCCAGCCTCTGTGTTGCAGAAGTCAGGCACTGGGAGACGGCCCAACAGCCTGTTGACGGATGGAGGTTTACACAGCAGGCTCTGCTACTCAGCTCTGCTACTCAGCTCAGTCTCTAGACTCGGGGACAGCCACCAGACTGTAGACCCATATGGCCTGCCTCCTACTGACCCCTTGCCCCATCTGCTGTTCTTACTTAAGGTCAGCACTTCTGTAAACACCAATGTAGTAGGAGTGACATTCCTTGGAATGAGGACATGGCCTCACTGCCTCTCCACTACACCCATGTCCTGTGACCAGGAAGTACAGACAGTACTCTGAGGGCAGTGTGGCAGTTCTGGGAGACAGAGAGCCCTCCGCTGGTGCAGAGTGACCCCTGCCTGCTGGGAGGCAGATAGCAATATTGAGGGCACGCTATTGCCCTTAAAGGGCCCTAATAAGCTCCAAACTTATGGTGACTCAGGGCTTGGAGTCAGGGGCCAGCATGATAGCAATAAAGTACTCATTCCACCTGCAGCCTTCCTGACACCTGAGAAAAGGTTGTTTACCTAGATTAGGGTGGGAGGGGCAGATGCAGAAGACTCTGCTGGCTAACTGGGTCCAGGGCGGAGGGCAGCAGCAACTTACATGGTGAGCACAAAGGGTTGGCAGAATAGAAGTTTGGGAAAAGCATCCCTTCTACAGCCATCCGGTCCAAATTTGGGGTCTCTCTGGAAGGCTCTCCATTCACACCCAGGTCACCCCAGCCCATCTGCAGGGAAGATCAAAGAGATGAGGAATGAACCCTTTCAACAAATGGTTCTTTTGTTACAAGGAGGAGCCATAGAGTTTACCCAAACCCTGGAAGCTTCTGTGAGCTGCTCCAGGACTTACAAGAAATTTGCTGGCTTTCACCTCTATATCAGTTTGACCACCACCAGGAATATATCTGTGTTTGCCTTCCTCCTCAGCTGAGATCAACCCCTGTATGCTCCTAGAGTCTTGGTGTCTAAGAATACACATCTATTTTCAGCATAAAGCTGTTATGCAAATTGAGATTTCAAAAGCAAATGGTGAGGTTCCTCAGAAAACCGAGCCTAGAGTCACCACATGGCCTGGCGGCCTGGCTCAGTGTACCTCACAGAACTGAAAACCCATGCTCCAAGACTACATGAGTGTCCATGGCAGTCTGATCCCAACCATCAAGGGCTATGGCCAGTCCAAGTGGCCACCAGATGATAGATGAACGAGTTGTAGGCTATACTGTCTTGGTGGAATTGTATTTCTCCAAATTCATGACCATCTGAAGCTCATGAGTATGACCTTAATTCACTTCCTGGAATGTTATTCAAGGAAACCTGGACCCATGTTTCTAGGCCGTGATCACTCAGATTTGGTTCAGAATAAACTCTCACTCCCTTGGAGATGCAAACTGTGCTTTGGATCAACTATGGCAAATTCTCATTGGAGGGAGGACATGCAGTCAACTTCCAGCTATGGTTCATCACAGTGAAGGGATGGCAGGCAGCAAAACAAGACAAGGACGAGGATGCACAGGGTGGTGTTGGGAGTCTAGACCAGGCAGCTTCCAGTGTCCTGCCCCCATGGCTGTATGCTACAAGCCTGCTTCCCTCAAGGTCAACTTGTGATAGCACAGGTGGGTGGAATCAACCTGAGAACTTGTGAGAGGTTTAGGATCTAGAGTTCTCACTTTGGGCTGGTCATGAAGGCACCTTGTACTTTACACACACCAAGATGACAGATGCACAGGGGTATTAGATAACTAATTAGATATTAGCAGGCTTGGAAGTTATCGGGATGGATCCTTAACAATCAGCTTGCAAAACCAAAACCTGATATTGTGGGACTGATACTGGCTCATAGGGTGTGACTAGAGTTGTATTTATAACCCTGGGTGGAGTTATGACATTAATAGATGTGGGCATGTACAATTCTTGTCTTTGTGATATATTGTTGTCTTCTACAAAGTTCACGTTTGAGAACTACAATCAGTCACAAAAAAATCACAAAAATATGTTTTAAGTAAGTTCATGATTCTTGTGTTGGGCCAAATTTATGGCTATCCTTGCTGTATGTGGCTGCAGGTTGGACATACCTAGAAGAGCTGGAGGTCCGTCCTTCCTTCCTTCCTTTTTTTGAGACAGGGTTTCTCTGTGTAGCCCTGGGTGTCTTGGCACTCACTCTGTAGACTAGGCTAGCCTTGAACTCAGAGATCCACCTGCTTCTCCCTCCCAAGTGCTGGGACTAACATGCGCCACCTCTGCCTGGCTTGGACTAAAGTTTACTTTAACTTGGGTTGTGTTTGTCCTTCTCTGTTCCACTCAGCTCCCCATGTTAGGAAGGTTATGTGGAAAGCCACCCCAGGCACTAGGCCCATGAAGCCGCCCATACTTCCAGCCCACACCTACCTCCAATGACCATGATGATTTTGCTCTGCAATGGTCCTTTTTGGTCCTTGTCCACTCTCATTCTTTGACTATGCTCTGCTCTACAATGGTCCTTGTGACCATTATCTACTCTCTCACACACTCTAATTATGCTGTCCTTTACACAAACCAGCCTCTTATGCTGGCTGTTACCCTTAGGACAGGAGTGGGTCTGGAGTCTTTTGCAAGTCAATGTGACTGGCAGGTGAGTAGGTCTTTTGTATGGTTCACTATGCTAGTTTTGGGAACCCATCCCCTGTTCTATAATGGTGGCCTCTTAGGGAAAGGGGCTTATTGAGAACATGCCCTCTGGACACTCATAACCAGGGCAGGACAGGACCATGATCAACCAGTCCAAAGTCAGTGGCAATCCTTAAAGAATTTAAACAAGAGACAATCTTAGACAGTCAGACAGTGCCGAGCCTGGAGCTGGGAGCCATGTCATCCTAAGCCAGACATACATAAGCACATGTTGCAGGTTCAGACATGATCAGCCTGGCAAAGGCAGCTATAGAGAGCAAAGGGAGGGGTTTGCAGAGGAGAAGAGACTAGCATGGAGGCTCCTGTGCTGCTGAGGCTGTCCTTATCTGCCATGTAGAGGGCACCTCAGGACTTTTCTCCCCTTCTGGCATTCTTGCCTCTTCCAGCACAGGCACCCTGCCCTGGAATAGGTCAAGTATGAACCAAGGAGGCCTCCCCACCCAGGGTGTCCTTTCCAGAGGTGGGCTCAGCTTTCCTGGTGCACAGTCCAGCATATTCTTCTCACCTTATGCTTGGGTCAGGAGTGGGTCCGAGTCAGCAAAATCCATTGTCCCACTGGGACTGCTGATAGTAGGGTAGGTGAGCTGGGAGTTGCCTAGGGCTGTCATGAGGCTATCACGGGGCCACCAGGGGCCAGCTTACAGATAGCAGCTTTATGAAAGGGGAAGCCTAAAACCTACTTGCTTTAAGCCAGAGTGATCTTTGGTAAAGCCAGGGATTCCCAGTTTCACTGACATTAACTGAGTTCATTTTCAGTTATATGTATCAAAAGTCTCTACACAACAAGACCCAAGTTTTGCAGAATGTTCTTGAACAGCCCCAGGGTATTCAGAAGGTAGGTGGTGGGGGTTCCTAATCAACCACCTTCAGGTAGACTGATCTGGTGCTAGCCACATCTCACTAGCCAAAACCCCTGTACTCATCTGCAGCTGCCCAATGGAAATGCTCTCTGAATTTTACATGTAACTTTATATTTTTTAGTTGTCATATTAGAAAAGCAATTAGGTTACTAGATGTTGTGGTTCATGCTTGTAGTCTTAGCCCTGGGGAGGCTAAGGCAGGATGACTGTCTTCAGTTTGAGGCGAGCTTGGGCTACAGAGTGAGTTTCAGGCCAGCCAAAACAACATAGCAAGACCATGTCTCAAAAAAACCAACCAACCAACCAAGCAAATAAACAAACAAATAAACAAAACAAAAAATAAAAGTAAGGAGTCGAGATGAAGGCTAACAGTACATTCACTTAACTCAATTATCCATAGTCTATCATTTCAACACTCTTTAGTAGTCTAATAGAGTGTTAGAGAGGACCTTTTACTTCTCACAGGCTGTCATTTGCAAAGGAGAGAACAGAAAACTGACAGACAAGCGCCTGTAGTCAGTACTTCTGATAAAAAACAAACCAACAAAACAACAAACCAAGCCAGTGTGACTTAGCTCTAAAAGGACCTCATACTGAAAGGCACTATATATGTATGTGATATATATCTTCAGTACTGCTCAGTACTGTGCAAAGCCTGCTACCAGCCACCAGGACAAGCGCCGAAGGAGCCGGGCACCCAGAGTAGAATTAGCCATCATCCACATAGAATGGGAAGCTGGAAAGAAGCATTCAAGGTTTCCTGCAGAGGATTCTGGGTAGTGGGATTATGTACAGGGTTTTTCAGGCATATATTTTTCTTCATAATAAAGAACCACTAACCTAAGGATTATCAAGTGGGATGTTTACTTTTTCTCCTCCTAAGTCTCTAAAATCCAACTTATTTTACATACATGGCACCTCTCTATTATGATGGGCACCACTTTGAGGAGTTAAGTGTGGGTCAGCACAGGTCTGAAGGCTCTGTGGGGAGGGCTGGGTTGGCTATTAGCCTCTGGGGTGCCCAGGACTGTTCCAAATCAACCTGAACTGGCTGTGACTCTGGTTCAAATAGTAGCAGACAGGTGCTACTCTGTAGAGTGTGTCTGGGGTGGGGGCTGGTGGGCTAAGGCTCAGAGGAAGATAGGGTCCAGTCCAGTTTGGATCAGACCCAGCGCTGATTTCTAAGCTTTCATGTCACTTCAGGGAGACAGATTCCTCAGATTGGGACACCGAGGCAGATTAGCCCCGGGGCTGAGTTCACAGATGGCTGTCTGCAGCACACCAGCCCCCTCAGGTGACATTCTTACCTTTCAGCTCTTCCATGCCCGACTTTGGTCAGAATTCCCCAGAGGCCCAGGCTGGAGGTGGGCACCGAGGGCAGGGCCACCTTATGAGGGGAGGGGGACGCCAGGCCCCTTCCCTGGGGAGGAAGGGAGAGAAGAGCCTCCCTGAATACCGACCCCCACTGCGGAAACAGTAAGAGAGAGAGAGGTGACAGCGGCGTCTGAGCCTCCCTCGGGTCACCCCTCCACCGCAGTGTGGCTGCCCTGTACCTTCCGTGTCCCCCCGCCGCCGCGCGGCCCCACTCACATCGTCCATGAGCATCAGCACGATGTTGGGGGGCTGTGGAGCACCTGAAGCCAAGAGTCCTAGGGCGCTCAGAACCAGCAGCAGCGGCCGGCCTCTGGTCGCTGTGGCAGATGCCGCCATGGCAACCAAGCACCCGCCGCGGAGCTAAGACCCAGTCCCGATTTCGCGGCGTTTCCTTTCGGACTGCAGGGCGGGCCCTCGTGGCTGAGTGACAGGAGAGGCGGGGCCTAGGTCGCCTGACTGACAAGAAGAGTGGGCTCCGCCTGGCCGGGAAGGGCGTTGGGTTTGCGATGCCGCCGGACAGGATAGGCTAGCAGAGGAGCCGGGACCCCCACCAAGCTGAAGCGTGAGAGCCGGGCCTGCCAGGCTGAGTGACACGGTAGGTGGGGCCTGACAGGAAAAGTGGGACGGAGCGACAGAAGCAGGGGCACTGCCAGCGTCCGAACCGGAGAGGTGGGCCTCGTGCCTGACAGGAAAGGGGTCGGAATCAAGATCTGACCTGAGAAGCGGGGAAGAGCCCCTGTAGAGAAGGGCGGGGTCTGAGCCACAGCGGGGTGGGGTTGGGCGGAGGGATGGGCGGGGCCTGACTCCCGTCGGGTCACATGATGCGGCGCACGGCCTGCCAATATGGCGGTGTGCATCGCGGTGATCGCCAAGGAGGTGCGTGTGAAGCTGCGAGCGGCGAGCGGCGGGCGGCGGGCGGTGGGCGGCGGGCGGTGGGCGGCGGGCGGCGGGCGGCGGGCCTCCTTCCAGCCATGCCCTCGATCTGCTCAGCTCTAGGCTCCCAAGCCTCCGCCAAGCCTTGTGATCAGGATCCCTCCTGCCCTCTCTTGCTGTCAACCGCCCGCCTGCCGCCACCTTGCAGGCCGCGGCCTCCGGGTTTTGAGACCCACCGCGAAGCTTGGCTGCCTCTGTAGCCCTCCACCCTTCGCGCTACGCGTTCTTCTTTCTTGGCCTCAGCTGCCTTCCGCGTCCGGTCTTTCTGTCCCGCCTTCCCGACCGTCCCCTGGCTGCCCCGCCGGTGCTATTTAAATACAAACGAGGAGCGTCGCGAGTCAAGCTAGAATTCAAATGCTTTTCTTTGCTTTAGGATAGTCGCCTTCATGCCACTTGCATCCTTCTACTCCAGTCCCTGTGAAGGCCTGCAAACCTCTTGACAGTTTCCCTCACCCCTTATCTTCCCAACTCTTATCTTGCTGGCCACCATATATATTCATTTCCTCTGGAAAGCTGTTTATGAATGCTAAGACAGCATCAGAGGTCCACAAGATCCTGTTGCATGGAGCCTGTATCCTACCAGGTCTTCCCTGAGACCTGCCATTAGGGATTGGGCTGCTGTGAAGCTGTCAGTATGAATGAGAGAGTTACGCCCCCATAAGCCCACCAAAATCAAAACTCCGTTAAAAATGCAGCTACTGCTTTGATAAACTCACGATGAAGTCCATTATCAATGCTGAGGTGTCCTGATTTGGGGACTCATAACTGCGGTAGACCAGATGATTTCTGGACGACATAGTTGAACAAAGGATGTGGGAGGCCAGGAGTGAAGCTTTTGGCGGTGGGCTTAGGATGGTCAGATGTGTAGAGGTGGAGATTTGAGCTCAGTCTTGAAGGGCTGATCAACAGACCACTGCCCTTGTGTGGCACATTAAGAAATAGCAGTGTGCCTGGTGTGGGGATGACACTTCAGAGTGTGGTGGTAGTTGAGGCAGGGATGATTCTAGGACGAGGAATGACTCACCTTAGTGTCAGGCTATGTTGTTAGACTGTGCTCGTTGGCATTCCTGGGCCATCTCATTTCTGCTCACCTGTGCATTCCTGCCCCTGTGCATTCATTCCTCTTCTGCTGCCATCTCCTTGTCCCTCTCCTCCTCCTTTCTGGTTGAACTAGGGCCTAATACTGCTACTCAAGTGCTCTACCATTGAGCTACATCCCTAGTCCAGTATATATTTTTTTCTTTTTAGTACTGGGAATTGAAGTTAGGGGCCCTGTGCATATTAGGCAAGTGCTGTATCACTGAGTTATTATCTATAGTCCCCTCTCTGCATATGGCATACAGTCCTCCTTAGGTTAGGTTATGCCCCTGAAGGCAATGTCTGCCAAGTGAATTTTAGAGCACGTGAGTGGTTGACAGGCTGAGAGCCCACCTTAGGAGTGCTTTGACATTCATTGTCTTCGGAGCTGGGACTCACTAGGTGGATCACCATCCCTTCTTGCAGAATTACCCTCTGTACATCCGAAGCACTCCCACAGAGAATGAACTCAAGTTCCACTACATGGTGCACACGTCCCTGGATGTGGTGGATGAGAAGATCTCTGCCATGGGAAAAGCACTGGTGGACCAGAGGGAGCTGTACCTGGGCCTGCTCTACCCAACTGAGGACTACAAGGTGTATCCGTCAGTGCTCAGCACTGTTCTGCACTCGCAGAGTGGGATATGGGAGGAAACACAAGAAAGGAAAAATTGTAAGGGGTTCCAGCTGGTCAGACAGGCAGGTGGCCTGAAGCTAACCAAGGCCTCCTAACATTTTTTCCTTCCTTTAATGGGAAGAGTCACTGGAAAAGCAAGGCTGAACTTCCAGGAGGGTGAAAGTTGACGTGGCAGGGATCTGGGCTTCTCTGTGCTCGTTAGAGGCGACCAACTTTGAATCAAGGGTGATTGTCCCATGATACTGTTGATAGGCTCAGCCTCATGTGGTACTGTAAACTCTTGGCCATTCCCTTGGATAAATTCTTAAGACCACAGAATCCAAGAACATTCCCATGGGGACTAACTGTAGCCTATCCACAAGGACATTGGCGTCACTCTGTTAACACAGTGATGGCAAAAGTTTGGCTTTGCAGCTAACATCCCAGACCTCGCATCAGTTCAAAAGGAGGCTGAGCTGTTCCCAGTTCAGGTGCACACCTGCATGGTTGCTGCATAGCCTCCCCAGCCTGGGCACTTCCTGTGATTCAAGGTTGTCAGGTTCTCTCAAGTGAGGGTTCACAAAGTTCTCCGGGCTTGCATGCTCTTGACTGCCATATGAAGTCATACAGGCCCTGTGCCAAAGCGTGTTCCTTAACAGCCGTGCAGGTATGGCTATGTGACCAATTCCAAGGTGAAATTTGTCATGGTGGTGGATTCCTCCAATACAGCCCTTCGAGACAATGAGATCCGCAGTGTAAGTGCAGGGGCTTGAGGTGGGTGTCTGCTGCTTCCCTTTCCTCGCTGAGAATGTAAAAGTCTGCAACAGCCCTGTGCATGCACTCTTTTAAACTACTTTCTGTTCTTTTTTCAGATGTTCCGGAAGCTGCATAACTCCTACACGGACGTGATGTGCAACCCCTTCTACAACCCCGGAGACCGCATCCAGTCAAGGTGGGGCCCTGTGTGTTTGTGTCTCTTTGTGAGACTTGCTTTGTGATAGCATGGTCACTGGGGAAGTGAGGGAGCCGTGAGTACTGTCCTCAGGCCACTGTTTCAAAGCAGCCAGCCCTGTTTTGCTAAATTAGTGCCGACACAGACCTTTAGTGTGATAGGCAGATTGGGCCAAGGTTCACCCATGTGGTCTCCCAGGTGTGTCTGGGTAACTGAGGACCTCCAGAGGGCTCAGCAAGCTCACAGCTCATGCTGTGACCGTAGCTTTTATTTTATTTTATTTTTATTTTTATTTTTTTTTGGTTTTTCGAGACAGGGTTTCTCTGTGTAGCTTTGCGCCTTTCCTGGAACTCACTCTGTAGCCCAGGCTGGCCTCGAACTCACGGAGATCCGCCTGCCTCTGCCTCCCGAGTGCTGGGATTAAAGGTGTGCGCCACCACCACCCGGCTGACCGTAGCTTTTATAGAGGCAGTGTCCTCCTGTTGTAGCCCGGTGTGCCTTTTGTGTTGGGCTTAGGTGTCTCCCCTCCAGCTGGATGGACCTCATGCAGGTGCTTCATCAGGAGGCATGGCCTTCATATGCTGGCACTACAAACCTGCTTCCAGATTCTTTTTCTGGGACTATTCCCGAGGGGCTCCTTGCAATTGACAGGTGGCCCAAGCTAGGCCCTTTGGTGGCACCTTCCTTTGGCTGAGATATCGAGAGTACTGCATCCGCCTAGATCCTAGGAGAGAGCACACGGATGTCCCTAAGCTGTGCAGGGCAAAGGTAGCACTGCCTGTTCCTGGGGCTCAGTGCTTACCCCTGCCTGCACCCTGTGTGCCTTACCCTGGGAGGGATGCTGAGGAAGTCTATGACGGAATAGGCCTGTGGGGGCTGTGCAGGGATTGTGGATCAGGAGGTGGGTGTCACTGCCCAGTATGGTGGGTATGCTCTGCTTCCCCGAACAGTCCTGAGGACCCAGCACAGCAGTGCCAGTCTCTACCAGCAGAGGGCAGGGTCATAGCCTGTCCTCCTCTAAATCTGGGTTCTTTTCCCAGGGCCTTTGATAACATGGTAACTTCGATGATGATCCAGGTCTGCTGAGCTGGACCTCTGCCCTAGTCACCTGGAAGAGAAGCCTGTATTCACCCCTGTTTGATGATTATTTATTCCCTTTCCTCTCCCTGAATGTAACCTGTGGGCAGGGCTGTGTGCTCTGTACCTTTCTACTAAAGGCCTCACACGATGAGATCTGCTTTGTCCTGTGTCAGCAGAGAGGGTCAGCTGAGGACCTGCTAGCTGGTCTCAGAGACTGTGGAGCCGTGTAGGAGCTGTGACCATAGCCAGGTGGAGTGAGGGAGAACACTGAGTACAGAAGGCTGTGGGCCTCCATTGAGTGGGTGGGTGGTCCAGAAGGGTGCAGGGGATGGGGAGCCCAGAGCCAGCTCCAGAGGATGGAGGCAGTGTAAGGCAAAGAGCCACATACATTTCTTCTTGGCCAAGGGCTCTCAATGTTCTGGACCCTCCATTCATTTAGCCCAGACTTGTGCTCAACCCCAGCCTCGGGAGGTGGTAACATCTGAACGCTTCATGGAGCATAGCATTAAAGCAGCTGCTGCTTCCCATGTGCCAAATGAGAAACTCTAGGAGCCTTTCCTGGCTGTCAGTGAGCATGGAGGTCAACAGGGTCCCCAACAATGCTCCTAGGCCACACGTCCCCAAGGACAAACCAGGCTCTCCCCAGATAAAAATTCTGTGGCTGTGTGGAGGTGGTGACTGGAGCTGGCTCCTCTGTGCTACTGGACAGTGTGGTGTCCTGGGGGATGGCAAGGCCTGAAGGACCTGCCCCAGCTCTGAGTCCCCTTCAGATGTTGCCGCTCCATGCTGTCTTCAGAGTCTCTGGCTTCCCCAAGTCATCAGCCCAGGACCTCCCGCTTCCCTGTAGAGTTTCTCATGCCTGGGCCCAACAGGCAGTGACTTGTCCACATGAGCTGCGTAGAGTAGCAGAGGAGACAGCCCATCTCCATTGTATCAGGGCTTCGCTCCAGTGAGCACAGGGTTATTAAAAATGCAGGAAGAAGCCAGACCTTCCAACTGATCGACAGAAGTGGCAGATGAAGTCGGACTGAGAAGTTCAACAAGCAGCTGACTGACAAGGACAGCCCAGATGTGCTTGCGTTAAAGGCTTTAGCAGGAGGTTGGGCTTGGCAAGAGAAGGCAGGCACACCAGTGAGGTGGGATCTTGGGATCTTGAGTATTTAAGGAGGTCACCGTACCTGAGTATTAGCTACGCTGGGAACTGCATCTCGTTCCCCAGTACTTCCCCCTTTCCTCCTTACAGACAGAACCTCAGGTTTACTGGAGGAACTTGGCTAAATGCCATTTGTTTCCCTCCCCTTCACGCCAGGGCAGGTGGTTAAGGCATGTAGAGGGTGGTATTGGGAGAGACCTACAGGACACATCTTTAAAAGTAGCTTCAGCTGATGTTCAGTACCCAAGACGTTCTGCTTTTCTCCTGCCCGGAACTTGAGTATGACAGTGGGAGCTTGGGCAGCCCTCTTAAGAGCATGAAGATAAGAAGATATGCAGACATGAGCACGGAGCAGAAAGGAGCCTGGTCTGGGCTAATGGGCTGGCCCTGGACTGTTCGTATGTGAGACAATAAACTGTAGCTCTCTCCTGTTGAAGCTGCTGCTGTTTGGGTTTTCTGACCGGTATAGTCAGATTGTGTGTAAGTGTGCTGTGTGTGTGCACTATGTGTGTGCACTAGGGAGTCTTCTCACTATCAAGCTCTAGCAAACAAAGCTTATAATGTCATCTGCTTGCCTTGATGTGGCCATCAGACTTGCAGGTGAGTTTGAACCTGAGGCTGGCCTTGGAGACCACGGTCGCTGCCTGTCTATTATGAGGCAGGCTTTCCACCCTGGGGCCAAGATGGCTGCTCTGGTTAGCTTGTGACTTACTGCAAGTAGTCTGTGAGGCCATCGGCTGCTTACCTTCCTTTCTGGTACTGTCATGCAGACCTGGGGCCAGGGCAGCCTGGCCACCCCGCCCTACACTAGGAGAGAAAGCTATGGACTGACAGTGGCCACACACACGGCAGGGGGCTGCGGTGCTGGTGGGGCCCTCACTACCGTGCAGATGGCATGCTGGGGGTGTTTGTACCTCAGTCTTCTGTCCTTGGTCCAGACAGACCTGAGTCCATCAGAAAGGAAGGTCTCCTGGGCCCCTCCCAAGGAGAGAACTTACTGTATATATAAGAAGAGGACCAGAAGCCACTGAGCTGAGGTGACAGCAACAAGACCAAAGCCATCCCCTTGGCAGGAGATGCCCAAGGTTCAGGGAAAGCAGGGCAAATATCCTGCCAGGAGACCAGGGCCAGGGCCTTGGCAGTTCTGAAGCTGGAATGTGATGAGACGCAGGCTTCACCCTTGGCGAAGCCCAGCCAGGCCACTTTGATACTGGGAGTCCCCCCCAAGGCCGCCCTAAGGCAGATTTGCTGCCACCATTTGCCCACTGGGTGGCATTCACCACTGGCTTGTCAGGACAGAACCAGTCACTTCCAGAGGTGAATAAGGCTGCTCAGACTCCTGGGGCTACCCTACAGGTGCCACAAACAGACTTGGCCATTAACACAGTGGCTGGAGGCAGGGCTGCTTCCTGCAGGCCTGGAAAGAGTCTACTTCAGGCCTTAGCCAGCTCCAGCTCTTTGCCTTGACCTCTTTGTCTCATGCCTCACCCATTGTTGGGTTTGTGGTCCACTGGCAGTCTGGGAATTTTTTTTTTTTTTTTTTTTTTTTTTGAGACGGGGTCTTACTGTGTAGCTCTGGTTGTCTTGGAATTCACTATGTAGACCAGGCTGGCCTTGAACTCACAGATCCGCCTGCCTCTGCCTCCCAAATGCTGGGATTAAAGGCATCTACCAGTATGCCTGGCTTTGAAGTTAATTCTTTTTTTTTTTTTTTAAGATTTTATTTATTTTTATTATGTATACAATGTTCTGCTTGCATGTATGTCTGCAGGCCAGAAGAGGGCACCAGATCTCATTACAGATGGTTGTGAGCCACCATGTGGTTGCTGGGAATTGAACTCAGGTCCTCTGGAAGAGCAGCCAGTGCTCTTAACCTCTGAGCCTTCTCTCCAGCCCTGAAGTTAATTCTTATTATATGTCTTCAGAGACCCTTTTTCAAATAAGGTCACAGGCTGCCTTCAGACTTTGGAGGGGAAGATGTGCTTGCATTTTCGGGGGTACCGTCCACTTCATTAAGGACAAGGGACGTGTGAAAGTGGTTTGGGGAGGTCAGGCATTGATGGAGTCTAGAAAAGGGCAGCACCTGTCCCCAAAGCAGTCTCCTGGTGCTGGGGGTCGTTTACTCGGCAGCTCTGCTTAAGGAATGAAGGAAGTGAGCATAAGGCAAGGAATGGGGGTGGGTGCACGCAGTGTCTGCACTGGACAAACCTGGGCCTGACCAGCCCTCTTCCTGCTGAGTACAGTGGCAGTGCAGGGTGGCCTGTCTTACACACACACACACACACACACACACACACACACACACACACACATACACACACACACAGAGTTTAGAACAGAGGCTCCACCTCTGCTTCCTGAATTGACCAGTTCAGACACCTTCCAGGGCAGGATGGAGGTGAAATCCAGCTATGTCTAGAGAGCCAACTTGGGGCATAGAGGCAAAGTTATGGGGTGGAATTCTGCTCACTGTCTATTGAATCCTAAGGCAGAGCCAGAGCCCCATTTTCTGGACTCACATCCCATTACTACCCTCTCTGTGGAGCTCCATGGAGAAAGTTACAATGTAAACCTGTGTCTGAGGGAGGATCAAGCAATGAGATTTGTTACATGCTCTTAAAATAGTCAAGTTTAATAATTTATGCTTTACTATTAACACACATGCCTATTTTTCTTTAAAAGTACTTGAGTATGCCGATCTCAGCTTCCCTGGGCTTTTCCTTCCTCTCCTGCACTCTGTATCTCCCTGCCCTGTGCCTTCCCACTGTGACCTGGGGGTCTAGGCCACCTTCAAAGGCCCTTGTGGGCTGCCAGGCTTGAAGACCAGTTTGGAGTAAGTGGGAAGACCGCTGTTTACTTCTGACCCAGCTCCTGGCCCCACTTTGAAAACTGGGCCATCTTTTCAATATGGTGAGAACCATGGTGAGACGCGTCCACGGCCCCTGCAGAGAGGGAGGGAGACAAAGGCAGCTGAGTTGCCTTCAGAGGGATAGGCCTGGAGGACACCTGGGCAGGGAGCCTGTGAAGCTGCTCAGGGACTGTGGGAGGCACCTTCTCAGGCTCCCTGCTCTCTTGAGGGAGTGATTCCAGGGGAGGAGGGAGGTCTGGGGCTAGAATTTGCCACACGTGGCCCATGGGCTCAGCTACAGCCTTACCTGTACTTCAGGCCAGAGGAGCCTGCTGTGGATCCCACCCTCTATGGCCTATCACCTGCAGAGTCCTGGTGACCAGGAAGGAGTATCCCTACCAGGTAGGGAGGTTGCACAGAGGCTGTCCAGGCTAGTAGGAACCATGAGCTCTGACTCAGCCCCTTCCCAAGTGCCCTAGCCAGTTAAGGTTCATGTGAGGGGACAACAGTCCTCTCTTAGCATGATGCTGTGCAGACTGACTATAGCCAGCATCATGGTCAGGCTCCAGGAATCTTGCTGCTCAGATCTCCAGACTCAGACTCGCACTTGGGCCCACTTACCGGCTTTGTCCATGGGGTCGGAACCGCAATCTTCGATGGAGGCTGCTGTGCAGGAAGGGCTGAGCCCTGCTGCCCAAGTGTGTCCGCAGCCCACCACGATCTGTGGAGCTGATTCCTGGGAAGTTCGTCCTTTTGGGAAGTACCTGGATGGAACCCATGCCATGGTCCAAGACACTGTTCTGTACCCTTCTTGCCAGGGTGGCCTGAAGCCAGAGTCTAGACTAAGACCAAGGCTTTGGGTTCCTGACCTAGACGTACCATTTAGGCTGAAACTATCCATCCACCTTCACTTGGATGCAGCTGTGATCACATGGCATGCCTGGTCATGGCCAGCATCCTCTGGCAGAGGAGTCTGGCTCATCTCCCCAAGCCACACTAGGTCTGAGGGTTTCCATCATGCCCTAACTTGAGCAATGCCCACCCAGCTAAGATACCCAAAGGGTCAGGCTGGGTAGTTATGTGTTTTGGGGCAGGTACTCTAACCTCTCTGAGCCTGAAGAATGTGAGTTAATGTGCAAGCAAGGCTCAGTGGTGACTCACAGGTGCATGGAGACACCTGGGGAAACATACCTTGATGATCCGCCCTCGGAAGGTGCTCTCATCCAGATCCACAGCAGCCTGCACAGAGCTCTGGGAAGCGAACTCAATATAGGCATAGCTGGTGGGGAGAAAGGTGGGGAACGATGGGGTCAGCAGTGAGAGGCCAGCCCCGCCCTCCCTGCCCTCCCGCTATAGCCCCACACTGACCCCTTTGGGTGTCCAGAGAACTTGTCGCACAGGATGGTGACCCGGTGAATCTCCCCACAGGGGCTGAAGTAGGCCTCCAGCTCAGCAGCCGAGCCTCCATAATCCACCTGCTCTCAGAAAGGGCACCTGCTGTAAGTGCTGGGCTCTCTCTGTCGACCTCCTTCCGAGGCAGTTGTGGCAGAAAGGGGTTAGAGGGACCCCCAGGGTTGGTTGGCCCCTGGCTGGAAATGGGCTGAGGTTTTACCCACTCCTGCCCAAGGTTGATTGCTAAGAGCCAGTTAAGGGCTTCCTGTGTGGGCAGCTGGTTGTGTCCCAGGTATTGGCTCATGCCAGGTGTGTGGAGCGGTAAATCTCAAGGAACTTCAAACTTCAGAGCGTGTTGAGAAACCAGAATTCTTGACCTTAGCTTCAGCTGAATGGTCAAGGACTGGCCACTACGTGCCTCCATGGGTTTTGCCCAAGAGCTACAACCCACCCTTTCCTCTGCTGCAACTAGCATCAGACCTGCCCCTTCAATCTAGCCTTGGAGACACTTGAGTTTACAACCCTACAGCCTCCTACCTCAGTCTCCTAGCCAGCCCCATCCAGGGCAGACGTCGATGTGTGTACCCAGCTGAATGCCCTAATTGGAGCCAGATGCCACGAGAGGGCTGTGACCTCCCCTATCTGCTACTCACGTTGCCCACATAGACAGATCTGTGGTCAGCCTCCACCTTTTCCTTGGGGGTCCCAGGGAAGAAGTAGCCTGTAGAGAAAACCTCAGGACTATCAGGAGGACCTCATTGAGGAGCCCATTCCTCATGACCCCAGGGAAGGTCACCCAGGCTTCCAAGATCACATTGTGGGTTTGCAAGGCCTGATGCTGTGGGGTGATCTGGAATACTTCAATAGTCCTCATGTGGAGTCCATGCTGAGTACCTCTCCATTGAGAGCAGTGGGGTTTAGAGTCTTAGCTGAGTGGTCAAGGACTTGGGACAGTTGTCCATCTACCATCTGGGGACAGGGTCAGCAAGGGTCCCGGGTTCCTACCTATGGTCTCAGGGCTCAGCAGCTGTCTGACCTCAGCCCCCTCTTCCTCTGTGACCCTTCTTTGTACATAGGATGGCTCCAGTCGGGTCTCAGCATGCTCCATGGCCCACAGCTTCAGCTTGATGGCCTCCAACTCCTGCCGGTTATCCCACAGTAAGCTTGGGGTAGGTGGCCTGCAGGCCCCTCTAGAATGGAGGGCAGGTGTCTCCAGCCTGCCCCGGAAGAGTCATGGCTACTAAGGAATGACCTAGGTCATCCTGTTCTCCCCGTAGCCATAGTCCAGACTAGGGGCTCGGGGCCCAGAAGCCCCTGACACCTCCACCCCAGGACACCTCCCCCTAGTCAGAAAGGCCCGTGTGGTCTGCAGCATTGGCTCTTCCACCTCCTAGTCAGCTGTGCTCCTCACCCCCATGCCCAGGCCCATCCCTGCCTCCATGGGTCATGACGGGGTGCTACCTGGTTGTATACTGGAGACTTGGCCAGGTTTTCTTGCTTCAGCATGGACAGCAGGAAGCCTGCGTCTCCCTTTTCCTCAGCTTCCTCATCACTCTCCGCTCTCCTCTCAGCTCTTGGCCCCAAAGGGGTCTTTTCAGCCCTGCCCCAGGCCCCCCAACCTTGGGCCTCAGGATCTGAGGAGACCTTCTGGAGCCAGGCTTCAGTAGGGGGCGGGAAGAGATCATTGCTCAGGAAGGGCCACATGGTATGAAAAAACAGCAGGCTGGGCGAACCTTGGCTCTTCCGGTCTGCTCACCTCCACAGCTGCATCTGCCTTGTGGCTCTCCCTTTTAAGTCCTCATCCTGACCAGCTGCTTCCACTAAAGCACATAGGAAGGCCTCCCAGCTTGGGCCAGGCTGTTGAGGGAGAGGTGGTACTATGGGTGTCTGGATACATTGGGTCAGTTGGAGCAAGGGTCCCTGGAGAGCTAAGAGATCAGGCCTGGCCTCATCCAGAGTAGGGTTCCATATTCTGCCCTAACCATGAGTTCCTCCAAGACGCTTCCCTCCCCACCTCTACGCAGGGCACCTTTAGATGGGAGCCTATTAAACTCCGGCACTATTTAGATGATTCCTTTTGCCATAAGGGAGGCTCAGGCTGAACTGTTCAAATTGGATGATGGGTACTTGGCGGATGCAGGCAGGCACAGTGGTTTCCAGCCCTGCTCATCCGCTGCTGCCCCTCTGCGCTCACCCTACAGGACTGTTGCCAGCCTGCATCCATTGACTCCTTCCTGGGGTGTCCAGAAGAGGGGCGGACCTACTAGACACAGGCACTGAGGCTTCTTGAGTCTACTCCGCTGAGCCTCATGCTGTGCGTGTTATTGTCTCACTGAGGTTTCCACAGGGACCTTCAGGTGACTCCACGTCCTCAGATCCACAGCCACACTTCTGTGACCATGCCCCCAGGCTAGCCAATGGGACGTCTTTCTTAGAACCTGGGCTGGGATAGGAGATAGGTTTAGTGGGCTACACTGTATATGTGGAGTTTGGTGACTGACACTTCCCACAACCTGGGGTGGCTGTTGAGGTTGAGAGGCAGAGGTGGGGGGTAGCTGTGGCTGTTGAAGCCCCAGGAAACTGGGCTTCTGACCCCTAACCTGACTTCTCATGTGCTCATTCTGTTCTCCAAAGTAGCTGAAAACTATCATGCCTCATGCAATGGCCCATACTTATACTCATCCCTTGGGCCTCTGGGGCAGGAAGATCACAAGTTCATGGCCAGATTGGGCTCCTGAGTGAGGCCCTGTCATAAACAACTCCACAATAATAAAAACTGCTGTGACCTCCAGGCCTCACAAGGGAAGGGCTGTGGGACAGTCACATGACCTGAGATAAAGTAGTCCTGACCAGAGACTGAGTGGCCACTGGCCTCTTCCCAGTCCTGCTTCGGTTACTTCCCTAGGTCCTTTCTGGCAGACCTGGGCTACTCAGAGGCAGCACCCATGGCTATGCAGAAAACAAGCTAGCCATACCGGACGATCTGGACAGGGATAGACAAGGAGCCACTGCCATCCTCCACCTGTGTGTGAAGCTCTGCTGGGGTCCTGTCTGGGTCTTTCCTCTACTTCCATGTAGGAGGTAGGACATGGCAGGCTGTGTCCAAGCCAAGACCATCTGGATGGAGCCCAGTCCCTGGCCAGTCTCCCCTCTGAGCTCAGTGTCCGCAGTGGAAAAACCTTGTCACTCTCCTCCGCCTCGTGCTATCCTGAGATTGCTGACACACCAGGCCCAGTGGGGCTCCAGCCAGGCGCCTGGCCTAGGGACAGCGAGCTCACCCCCAGGCTGGCCTTCCCCACAATGCTTTCAAAAATACCCTGTGTTCCAAGTTGGGACAGTATTAATGACAGTCGCTTTCTCCAGCAAGCTACCAGCACCCTGAAGCACTATGGCCAGTAGCTGGTTCTAGAGGGATTCCCCTTTTGCCAGGACACAGCTGCCATAGGAGCAGACTGAGAGATGGGTCTTTCTGCTGTGCCTCTCTTAGGTCCTGAGTTTCCCTCAGGTCTTAAGTATCCCTTTAGGGTTCCCTCAGATCCAGTGCCCCCCTCAGGTCCTCAGTGTCCCTCAAGCCTTTAGTATATCCCTCAGCCAGGTCCCACTGTCTCCCTCATGTGGACAGCTCAAAGAACTTGGCCCCAAGAGTAAACCAGTCAGCTAGCTATAGGTCAGGCCCTTGAAACTCCCAGGGTCATTCTTGGGGTCCAAGATTTTCCAGAACTCCCCAAGGCCCAGCCTTCCAAGATGGACCCCATTTGCCAAGGATATAGCAGCAGCACATGGAGCTGAAGTTCCCTTCCTTTGTCCACCCCAAGTCTTCTGTGGTACAACTGAACACCACATCCACCCTCGTCTATACATCAGGTCTTTCAACATGGTGATCGTGTGTGCGCAACGGTCTGGAGGAGCAGCAAGCCATCATAGCAAATGCTCACTTTATTACACAGATGTAATTAACCTGATCATCATGTCCACGGCCCACGGGGCAAACATATAGGACAGCAGAGGATAGCGGTGGGTGGTATGGCACACCACCCAACATGGAGGGCTGTGGACCACAGCTTTTCACGAAGGAAACATCCAGGACCCTCCTCCCAGCTCATGCAGGAGGAAAAGCAACAGTTCCCCCAGCAGGCTAGGTGAGCCTGTGCTCTGGGCCCGACCCTTGGCCCACCCCAGATATGGTGTGAGCTGAGGGATGCTGGGCCTTGTCTGGGTGGGAGCAGGGGCTGTTCCTTTGAGGATGTGGTGAGTAGGCCACACTTTGAGTCAGATGCCACATTCTTGTTTCCCAGTCTGGGTTGCTACTCTTAAGGGCCAGCTGAATTGGAAGAAAAGGAATAGAAAATAAGATAGAGTTTTCTAGAATTTGGGGACTTGTGCAAGTTGTTGACAGACTGTCCTGAGCTTTGTCTGTGAGCTGTCTACAGGAGTGGATGGTTCCCCTGAGCCCAGCTCATCTCAAGTTTCTCTATTTTCTCTTCCTCTTGCCAACATGATGGTAACCCAGGGGTCTCCCCCATGGCTCATTTCAGGAACTTTTCTACATGGTAGGATATAGCTTCAGGAAGAACAATGGGTTATCAGGGGAGCCTGTGGATGGCCCCAAACACCTAGCAAATCCCCCCCTACCATCAGTGTATTCAGTAGGGGCAGACTGGACAGGTTCAACTCTGAGCTACTTGGGATCCTAACCGAGAAGATGGGAATGGTACCCAAGTGTCTTGATGAACAGGCCCCTAGGAGTGCCACTGTCTCAAGGGAGGCAAGCATTGGCTTGCTCTCTTCAGAGATCCCTCTTCTGGGCAGACTCCTGGTATCAAGGACTGCCCCTACTTTCAGGGAATGTGGTTGCCTAACAGCATTCCAGAGCTCCCAAGCAGGTGTGTAGACCTTCTCCCAGCTCACATTCTTGGCCCCTTCTCTCCCCAAGTAGATCCAGATGTGTCACAGCTGCTGTAAGAACTTGTCCAATCTGTCCACAATGCCTGCAGTTGGAACTCATATTTCTGGAGGTGTCTAAAGCAGGCCATGGTGGGTCAGAGCACTGAAGGGCTGTTGACTCATGGGTAGGTATTCTTAGGGCACCCCTGGCCAGTTCAGGGCAAGCAGAATGGAGGGCATGGGAGGACCTAGTGTCTTTGGTTCACTGAGGGAGCTGATACTACTCCGAGTACAGTGGGTAGAGAGTATAAGAAAGATGGATCTAGGGATGGTTGTGTGGGTGTGCCTAGAAGACATACAGACACAAGGATGGTAAGTTGGAATGGTAGGGTGAAGAGTTTGGATGGCATGAACAGGTAGGATTGGACAGGTGGACAGATGGACAGATTGGACAGGTGGAAGGATGACAGATGGAGAGGCATGAATAGGTAGAGGTGTATGGGCTCATGGAAAGATATCTGGGTAAGTCAGAAGGGTGAACTCAGGAAAGTGTCAATCTATCAGTGTGGTTAGGCTGAGGAGCAGAGTAATGGACAGACGGATGCCAGAGATGATACTTTGGTGTTAGCCTAATGATTTATTTGGAGAAACTAAAAGAGAACTTTGGGGCCCATCCTGATTCCTGTCCACTGTGGCCTATTGTGCCCATGGCCCTGCGTCCTAGTCTGTCCCTCTCTACCATCAATGACCTGAGGTCTTCTGACAGATGTCCCTGTTGACTGAATCCTTCTGGGGGCTAGCTCTTCTCACCTTGGCACCCATCAGGCAGTAGGACCTAAGCTGTGGTATATCCAGCCTGTTCCTATACACCTGTGACCATGTGTGGAACGACAGCCATTGGCCTCCATTCCTGCGCAGGTCTGTGGATGGAGCTGGAAAGACTCCTTAGGCAGCCCGTAGGCAGCAGACTGGAGAAAGGCCAGTCCGAGTTTGGGGCAGGGTTGGGCTAGGAGATGAGGAAGGGTGGGAGAGGCGGAAGGACACATGACAAGAAGTCCTAAGGTCATGAGACAGGATCTGGGATAGGCCTTGGGGGTCGGAGAGTTCTGCCTGCCAGCTGCCCTCCTCACTCAGCCTTCCTGGTTTAGCTTTGGCCTCAGAAACAGGAAGTAAAGTTGCATTTTGATTTGGGGTTTTGGGGAGCAAGGCTCTGTGAGAGCCACATCCCGTAGGGGTTTGGTTCGTGTTTGTCTGTGGTTACCAGGAGGCAGGTCCTGGCAGCTGTTCTTGGGTCCATGGTTTGTGAGCTGGAGAAGGTAGCGGGAGGGGCTCTCAGCAGGAGTCAGGGATGGGGTATCGCCCTCCCCCAGCTCTGTGTAGAGCCCCAGGCAGACTTTAGGTTGAAACCAAGGGCATGCCGTGGTTATGGCCACCCAGGGTATACCTCCCAACAAAGAACACCCATGCACCCTGTTCTTTCCAAAGTTTTGAGGTTGTTTGGTTCTGCTGTGACGTCTTTTGGTGGCTGAAGTCTGAGCACAGCACCCACAGCTTGTCCAGGGCCTTAGCCCCTGGTTTAGGAACCCCCAGCCTCCCCTCCTCGCCTCAGACGACACTGCTGACATCCAGCTAGAACTCAGCAATGTTCCTGGGTTCCCTCCTGCTGTCTCTAGGCCCAGTTCCCTCGCTCACCCCTCCCCACCCCCACCCTACAGTAGCCACCCTGATTCTGCAGTTGCCTTGACTGCTGAGCTCTTCCTCTCAGCCTGAGTGTCTATAGTTGCCAGATCTCATGCACAAGGGACTCACTGTGGTCGAATGGCATCTGACAGTTGTCTTGGGCTATCCCAACAGCTAGGGGCTCTGCTGAACCCTAAATATGTAACCTGGTTCATGGAGGCCAACTGGGCCAGGCAGCATTTTGTTGTCCCTGGTGGGCCTTTGTGTTCTTAAAAGGTCAATAAGGGTGGTATGGGTAGGGCAGGAGGTAAGTGAAGCTAAAACAAAGTGGTGGGTCTTGAGGTAAGGGACCCTCTGTGACCTCCCTCAGAATGGCTGGGCCACATAGGAGCAGGCACTCTCAAGTCCTGACACCAGGGACGTGGGTCATCAGGGAAGCCACCTCAGGACTCCCGGCCCAGACCTCTAGAGACTACAGCTCTTAAGCACAACCCGAGGGCCCAGCTTTATTTTCATCCCACAGACATGGTGCTCACCACCTCCTGCCACCCAGAGCTTTTTCCTATGAATGGCCACTGGCCGGCCCTCCTGGAAGGGCCAAGGATGCGGCATGCCACAGAGACAAGAAGCACTGCGTGAGGTGCATCTGGGAATGGAATCCGGTGATGCTTCCTGTCACGGGAGGCAGGTCTCCACCAGCACACAGACTCAGTGTTCACAGGCAGACGCTCAGGGCAACTGGTCCACTAGAAGGGCGGGCAGGAGGCCGCCATGTGTCCTGGCTTCTCTGAAACCCACAAAGATGCATCTCTGTGGGCTTGGAGGGCTGTGGCCTCAGGAACCTTGCAGAGGATGAGCTCTACCTTGGCCTTCAGAGCGAGGGTTGCTGTCAGGCTCCATTCGGGGTAGCACCAGGTTGATAGTGCCTAACAGGATCCTTCCGTATAATGTTCTCTTAAAGAATGAATTTTACAGTTGTGAAGAAATACCAGCCACCAAACAAGCCCATAGGACCACAGCTCAGATTCCTTCCAAAATGTTCCCTAAATTTCACATACTTCTGTGGGTTGTCTTAATTTCTTTTTATTTGGCAAACATCTCCTCGGTACTGATGCCGTGGTTGGGACCTCTGTGGAGACTATTTACATTCACATTAACACACGCTGCACACCTTGCTCTGGGCAGGGCCCCCCGGGGCCCAGGGTTCAGGAGCAATTCCCCCATATTGCACGCTAGGCCTGCAGCTTACTGCAGCCACACACACAGGTGCAGACCCGGACTGTGTCTGCTGTCTTTCTGTTTGGTACAGGCATGAGCCTCCTTCCTTCATTTCCTCCTTGAATCCTTGAGGGAGTCGAGCGGGTAGAGGGCAGGGTGGGCAAGGGCTGGAGTGCAGGTGGGCAAGCATCACCATCACTCTCGGGGCTGGAGACGGACACTGGGGTTGCAACACAGAGATATGTACAGCTGGGCGTGAGTCTTCCAGGTGAGGTGAGGGTGGCTGCTGGCTTTTATGTGTGTTTTTTTTTTCCTTTTTTTTTTTCTGTAAAAGTTTGAAAGAAATGACGGTAGCCACAGCAAGACACTGGGGATGGGGTGGTAGGGCTGAGATGGAGGTGGGGTGGGAATGGGAGCGCAGAGAGGTAGAGGAGGAAAAACCAAGAAAGCGTGATTCGCTGTCACCTTATGCTTTCAAAAGCAGTCAAGAATCAAACCAAAAGATTGTCACAGTTTCATTTAGGAATTGTGCTCTCTCTGGGAAGAACACTTTAGCACTTTTTTTTTTCACAAGTGGAAAATGAGTTATGAGAAGTCACAGAAGGTGTGAGGACAGATGGAGGTGTGTCTCCCTTGCATATAGGGACACACGGACATGGCCCTAGGGCAGCCCCCAACGCTCAGGCTCATGCTGACTGGGGCTTCTGGATATGGTGTTGAGGGTCATGTGGCCTTGCCGCTGACTCCTTTGCGTAGCGAGCATGCTGCCCACTAGTCAAAAAGGAACGAAGGGCTTCTTCTTGGCCCAACCCACCAAATCCCAGTGAACAAACACCCCCCCAATAAAATCAAAACCAAAATAAAGACCAACATCCAAATGAACCCAGGAATGGAAAGACCATGAAAAAATACTTTGGCAGTGATAAAAATAAATTTTGGATTTTGATTTCTTGAGTTTGCTTTTTGGATTTCCTTTGGAGCGAGGTGTGTCTGGCATCCTTGGCTGGCTAGCTGGC